GCAGGAGCCCAATGGTACCTGCAGTTGGGCTTTCTGAGTCTGGCAACCAGAACCCCTGTCAAAGGGGTTAGATAAAATAACAACAGCTGCATGTCTGGGAAGGATTGTGTACCATGTATATAAGTATGTATGTATGTATGTATGTATGTATGTATGTATGTATGTATTATCCCACCATTCCCCTTACACAGGATTAAAGAGCGCTTGCATACAATCAAAATGAGGTACAGATAAAAATCTGTATCTATAAAAGTTTCAGAAACAGTTAAATAAATACATTTAAAAACAACAGTATTAAAATAAGACCTCACAACCTCTGAGGATGCTTGCCATAGATGCAGGCGAAACGTCAGGAGAAATGCCTCTAGAACATGGCTCTATAGCCCGAAAAAATCCACAAGAACCTAATATTAAAATAGTTTAAAGTACATTTAAAACTAATAGCAATTCAGTCCGTGACAATTCATGTACTTGAAACTGGCATGAGAAACGGAAGCTCTACCTCACTTTGCAAATGGTCCTGGTAATACAAATTAGCATGTTCAAGAGGACTCCCTCTTGATTATGTCCTAGGGCTAAATAGAATGAGGCAGTTGCCTTGGGCACCAATATAGAACAATGCTAACGACAGCCTCCTATCCACTCCTCTGAATCCTTGCCCAACCATTTCCTCATTTTTGGTGAACAAAGTTGTGTGTGCCATCAGCCTTGGCCTTGGTTAAACCCCTGTGCCAGCAGGACTGAAGACCGACAAGTCGCAGGTTCGAATCCAGGGAGAGGCGGATGAGCTCCCTCTATCAGCTCCAGCTCCTCATGCAGGGACATGAGAGAAGCCTCCCACAAGGATGATAAAAACATCAAATCATCCAGGCGTCCCCTGGGCAACGTCCTTGCAGACGGCCAATTCTCTCACACCAGAAGCGACTTGCAGTCACTCCTGACATGACAAAAAAAAGCCTTGGCCTGTACCTCTTGAACCAGCCACTGATTTCAGGATACCTCCCATTTCCAATGTTGAAATATAACTCAGCATAGAACTAAGAGTTGTGATTTAGTCCAAGTGGCATCTCTAGAAGGAATGTGTTGGGAGGGGAGGTTACTATTTTGTCCTTTGCTTTAGGCATCAAAATGCCTTGGGTCAACTCTGGCTGAGATCTGCTTCCTGCTTTATGTCCCACAGCTGCACCCAAAAGTTGGTACAGCAGCTTCCTCTTAGAATTTCTTCAAACTCTTGGACACATGTTGAACACAAATAGCGTGTGTGCAGGGTTCTGCCCTGCCCTATAGGAAACCGACTGTGTGCAGCTGTCACAATTAGGATAGAGCTTTCCATCTTCCTGATGACTGACAGAATTTAGCCCTGGTGTGCTGAGTAGTGTCCTGTGAATGGGGACCACACATTGTATCTGAATTCATTGGCAACTTATTCATAAACACATTCATGAGGTTGCCCTTTTTTTCATGTCAGAAGTGACTTGAGAAACTGCAAGTTGCTTCTGGTGTGAGAGAATTGGCCGTCTGCAAAGACGTTGCTCAGGGGATGCCAGCATGACTGATGTTTTACCATCCTGTGGGAGGCTTCTTTCATATCCCCACATAAGAAGCTAGAAATCAACAGACAGGAGCTTGCTCTGCTCCCCAGATTTGAACCGCCAGGGAGGTACTTTCCAGCTCCAGACACTCCCTCTCAAACCTTTCTTCCTGCTGATGCAAAGGAACTGTAAACTGTACAGCTACACATAGTTAAAGAGCAACATGAGATCTGGAGTCCTGTTTGGACAGAGTTCTCAAGTGTCACCTGGAGTTTAGTAATTGCAACCACATTTACTTCAGCACAGTTGCAGCTCCTTTGCAGGTCTTTCCCATCGACATAAGAAGGAGCAGACTGAAGCATGCAGCCACAGCTCCCTCTACATTGTTTCAATAATTTTACACTGTACATCAAAACCAACTCAGAACCAAATATTAAATAATTTAAATATGAAGGTATTGTAGCCCGAATTCTTCGTATATATGGGAAAAAATAACAAATGTTCATTTTTGTATAGTGAGACTCCTGTATTCATGTGGTATCCTGTGGCTACCTGCCTGTTTTTTCTTGGTTGCGCAGGCACCACTGCTGATGTTGACTAGGTTTTGACACAGAGCTCTGCAGCCGGTTGGGAGCACAATGGTGACATGAGATGAGATGATGGTCCAGTACAGCTGATGTGATCTCAGTTCAGCTGAACCATGTATACTCTAACCCACCACTGCAGTGTGTTCAGAAGGATGCATGTGGCTACCTCCCAGGGCCAGTTTGGAACATTTCTGCTCTGGATTGGCTCCAGATTTGCTAACCAATGTAGTTATGGGAAATGATATTTACTTCAGCAGAAGTGATGTAGAGTCCAGTTCTTGTGAGACTGGATAATTTAAATGCTACATTCCTTCTACCCTACTTTCACTTTTTCTGATATATAACCAACTGGTCTTTTCCATGTAGTTTTTGTCGCCTGCACAGCCATGTAAGAGGTTGCTCTTTAATTTTATTGTTCTTTAATTTACAGACCTCTCTTAGTCAGTTCTATTATATCATATCTCATATTATTATTCCAGGAAAGTTACATCATTTACCTATTTTTCTTTCATCACGCCAACGCGACAACTCTTGCTTAGTCTCCTTTGCCTTCACAAGTGTCGCTATGTTCTGTTGTTTACTTTCAAGTGCTTCCAATTTGTGGCAACTCTAAAATAAACTTGCCATGAGCTTTTCTTGACCATATTTATTTGAAGTGAATTTTGCCTTTGGCCTCCTCTGAGGCTGAGATTATGATTTGCTCAAGGTCATCCAGTGTGTTTCCTCTAGTCTCAAGAATTGGAATCCAGCATTCAAACTGCACACTGGTTCACCATTGTGGTCAGGCTCATACATAATAGTAAGACAGTTCGTGGCTTTTTGAATTCTGGGTTGTTATTGTATCTGAACCTATACCTGCACACAAAGAATCATAACTACAAAAATGCTCTGCCACTTGCTTATGAACATTGGCTTGTTTGAAGCATGGCTTCTGATTTCATCTGAACATAGTTCCATGCATTGCCCCTGGCTTATATCCTTGGTAGCATACATATTGATAAGCTGATGACAGAACAGGAGAAAAATATATCAGAAATGTGGAAAATAGACTATTTATGTTTTGGTAACTTGTTAAATTAGTGCAAATTGAAGTCAGATAAAATTGTGGAAGAATACCTAGTACCTAAGTAACAAGCTGCAATTGACAATAACAAAAGCAACAAACCCCAGGTAACACAAAGCATGGCTTACGATTACATGTAAATACAACCATGGTATGAGTTGCTCGATTCTAATACCTCTCTGGGTAGTCTACAGAGTTATACAAAAGTTATACAAAAGGCCCATATTGAGTCTAATTCCTTTTTCAAGCATTTGGCCTTACGCTGTGTTAACAGAATGCTTCTGAACTGTGCATTATGACCCCACATTCCTTGCATTGCACACCTTAAATCATACAGAGCATCAGGCCTGTTGCGAGGGGGGGGGTAGGGGTTCAACCCCCCCCCCCTGAAATTTTTCAGGTTAAAAAAAAAAAACCTGGTTTACTCATGAATTTTAACTGGTTAACCAAATCCCCATGCTAAGTCTATGAGACGCAAAAAATTAAGAGTCCCTCCAGAACTGCAAGCACTATCTCAAGCAAATATTGACAATTTATTCACACTGTCATTACTTGCAGCAATAGCCGATGTAGCGAAGCAACCAAGTTGGGTGTGTGTGTGTTGAATGCTCTCATTAAGGAGGCCAGACTTGGTGGAGGTGGTTGACAGGGGCGGAGCTGCAGGCTATTGAAGGCTGCTCTGCCCCTGCTGTGCTCTTTGCTTCAGCGTGAGCTAAGAGGCAGGTTTCAACCCCCCCCCCCCAAATTTCAACCCCCCCCCCCAAATTTCAACCCTCCCCCAAAAAAATTTCTGGCTACGGCCCTGCAGAGCATATACCGAATTTAATTGATTCTAAGATGCCATTGATTGTAAGATACACACTAATTTCAGTACCAACAACAAAAAACTTTATATATGCATGCATACCCATATACATGTGTGTGTTTGTGCAGTTCCAAAATGCACCCCATTTTTAGAGATGTTTCTATGGGCAGAAAGTGTGTCTTAGGCTCGAGAAAATACAATACTAGTTTTCATCCAGTTTACTATACAAAACATATCCAGAGTAACTTTTCTGAAGGTATCCGCTGACAAGACTGTACCCTTAGTATATAGAAAAAGCCCTAAATGATCAAATTCTCTCCTCTTAAATTCATTTTAGGGAGATAGTCTGATTGAGCTGCCAGTTAATTTTCAGGCATCTTTTTCCTGCATGAGATTGGCCCCAGGATTTGGCATATTCAGGAGTGTGGCCTTGTTTGAAGACCACACTGGGAACCTCCTGCCATTTATTAGACTGGAGATTTCAAAGACTCTCTCACCCAATCAGAATTGCTTGTTTTTACAAAAGGAGGTTGATATTTGAGTTGGCGTAATCTCTTTAAGTGCAAACAATAGCTCCCAGAGAGGAGCATATTTATTTTTTTATGTCTCCATGGAAACTTCATTTGCTGGGTGGAAGAAGCTGAAAGTCAGGCTTTATAGGAAAATTAAACACATGCAGATATGATCTGGGGACAAGCTCTGTGTGTGTCCCGAGAGCCCAGATTGCACATATGCAGCTTTGGAGATAATAGCCTCCTCTGTAGCCATCTCGAGGTCAAGCCCTACTGAATCTGTCTGTTCCATGAATATTGTTAATTATCAGAGGCTCCTTCAAATATTTCTTGGTGTATGCTTTATTAGATACAAATTCTGGAAAGTAGTTTGGCATCATTTAAGTTAGGTTGGGGTGGGTTGTTGGATGGGACGTGTTTACAGTAAAAACCAGCATTCTTCTTCTGAGCTTGGTGACACTAAAAACATGACATGAAAAGCTAAAGAAGTACCAAAAATAGTTTCTGAAGGGAGCACAGAAATTTTAATGATAGGAAATGATTACACAAATGTTGCTTGTGAAATACATGCTGGTTCTTGCGTTGAATTTTCCCTGAACATTCCCTAATAATACAAACAAATCCAGGTATGCTGTCACATGTGAAGACAATATACATATCTGTGGCATACCATATACAGATGCATGGATGGCATGTTTTTCTGTGAGTTCTCAACCAGTAACCACCTGGCAGATATGAGCAATCTTTGCTTGCAATTTTTCCTTGTATTACTTTGTATACTTGGGGTATACAAAGTAATACAAACCTCGTGTAAGCAGATAGCCACTTTGGAGTAGCTCATTTTCTGAAGCTATGAGCCAATGCTAGAAGGGAATGTCACCTGAGGTCCACAGAAGCTTTGCCCACCCAGCAACTTGAGAGACTTCTACATTGTGACTGTGCTTCACATAAGAAAGAGCTAGGAGAGCACACATGGAGTATTACTACATTGTATAATTAATGTAGGTTGACACCATTTTAGCTGCCATGGGTCAATGCTCTGGAATCATTGCTGTAGTTTTACAAGGTCTTTAGGCATTTTGCCAAAGATTGCTGGTGCCTCACAAAACTACAACTCCCAGGATTCTATAGCATTATGCCATGGCGGCTAAAGTGGTGTCAAACTGCATTCATTCTCCAGCATAGCTCCCCCATGTAGAAGTACCAGCAAAGAGAGCAGATTACCGAAACACTCCATGTAGACCATTCAGAGTGGTGATCTCCATATGTTAAAGCGATTCTAAAAACAATAATATTGGGCTGTTAGTCATTGGCGTTCCTTAAGAAATTTTCACTGGTAAGTAAAAAGCCCAGCAGAAACAAAATGGAACTAAAGCAGGTATGTGAACACTGAAGATGTTTGTTGTTTATTCGTTCAGTTGTTTCTGACTCTTTATGACCTCATAGACCAGCCCAAGCCAGAGCATCCTGTCAGCCGTGGCCACCCCCAGCTCCTTCAAGGTCAAGCCAATCACTTCCAGGATACCATCCATCCATCTTGCCCTTGGTTGGCCCCTCTTTCTTTTTCCTTCCATTTTTCCCAGCATCATTGTCTTCTCCAAGCTTTCCTGTCTTCTCATTATGTGGCCGAAGTACTTAATCTTTGCCTCTAATATCCTTCCCTCCAGCAAGCAGTCGGGCTTTATTTCCTGGAGTATGGACTGGTTGGATCTTCCTGCCATCCAATGCACTTTCAGAATTCTCCTCCAACACAATTCAAAGATAGTGAACAACAAAGATAGTGATGTTGCATTCCCCCCTTAATTTTGGTGAAAGGGCCATTCCAAGGCTGTCTAGAAGAGGTTTATGTCTGGGGCCTTTCCTTTGAGAAAATGAAACTACCCATCAGAAGTAAGACACTCTAAGAAACTCTGTGCCTTATTAACTCTGGACACAGAGCTCAGCAAGCTGGATTCCAGGAGCTGTGCATGAACGGCTGCCACCCAAAATGTTTCCTTTGGCTTCAGGATGGTGACTTCATCCTTTTCTCCTTCACATTACCTCTTTTGCCAGTTACTGTATTAGCAACATCACTTTAGAGACCAAATCCTCGCTTCTCTATTTGTCCCTCACCTTTCTCCAGCCACAAACACCAGCCTTTTCCTAGGACTATACCGTCGACGTAGCCAGGACTGACACAGAGCAAGGGCCCTTTCACACTATGTAATTAGAGAACTATGATTCCGCATCCTATGGCAACCTGGACCTTATAGTATCAGGAAGGGCATTTAGCATTCTCATGCCCCTTTCTAGACCATAGTACCATAATTGGCATGTGTTCAGCACAAGTCACCTATACATTCCTAATTGGAACATGGTTATCTGAAAATGTAGATGCAACCAAATGCCATCCGTTAACTTACCTTTTCTCCCGGCACAGCATAGAAGGATTGTGTTGAAGGATCTAGACCAGCGGTTCTTAAAGTGTACTCCGCTGACTCCTTGGTGCTCTGCGAAGCATACTGAGGAGCTCCATGCTTCCCTCCTCCTCCTCTTCTTTCTTCCTCCTCCCCTCCAAACTTTCCTTCCTCTTTCCTGCTCCTTCCCCTCCTCCCTCACTGCCAAAAGTCTTGTCCCTCAGCTCCCTTACCACCAAAAGCCTTATTTCCTCACTTTTCTCACTACCCAGATCCTTTCTCCCTTGTCTTCCTTACTTCCAAAACCCTATTTCCCTCCCACTGCTCAGGAGGTGCTTTAACTGTGTTTTCCCTTCATGTCAGAAGGGGTTGGACTGGATGGCCTTTGGGGTCTTCCACTGAAACTTAACTGAAATGTTACGTTTATGTTGGTTAAAATTGCTCTTCATTTTAAATATTGTATTGTTCTTTCTTTTCAATTAGTTCACACGCTCTCCATCCACCACTGGCCCATTTGAAAACACAATGTTTCACAAATATATCCATGCCTGATATATACATAACAGATTATATAATATATAATATAACATATAAACATTTATTGGGTGTCCACAAGAAACTTTTGCTTCAAAATGGTCTCTGTGGGTGAAAAAGTTTGAGAACCACTGATCTAGACATTCATAGAGATGTATGCCATACAATTGTCTGAAGGACCTAGCAAATTCCAAGAAAGACCATTGAACTCTTGGTGCAGGTAAGTGAAACTGTGGAATAAAGGTTGCAAGGTTATAGGGGTCTTACTGTGTTTGTACTTTTAAGTCATTTGTCTAATTATGTTGACTTCACACATTTGACAGGGTTTTCTTAGGCGAGGAATATTCTGAGGTGCCATAGATTTCCCCGTTCTTTCCTACACTCCACCTGTTTCAGTTTCTTAGGAACAGTCCCAGTTCCACTTTTATACTACTTTTAAAATGCCCCTGTTTCTGACACTTCCTTCCACTTCTCTTGTATTTAGCTGCAAACAGAATTCAAAGTGCTAGAGTAGTTTATACTCAACTCCATGGAGGGAGAGAAGAGAAGGGATGAAATCTTTCCCTTCTCATCAGATTCAGGCAAAAGCAAACTTCTGTATCCTTCCCTAGCTTGTGTTCTCCTTCCCCGTAGTAACATTTGGCATCATGACCTCATGCTCACATCCTAGTTTTCATGTGTGGATTGTTGGGGAGTGTGCAATTGAGTAGCAGGGCAGAGGGGTGAGTACATTAAAGCAGACCAACCACATTACAAAGCTGTGTACCTCTGACAAAGTTCTGGATGCTTCATCCTTGATTGGAAAACAAAAAAATACAATAAATTGTAATTTATTTCTTATTTTGAAAGCAGGATTCATTTTTTTTCTTGCAAGCCACTAGGATCTTCTTTGTTCATGAGTAAACCAGCACCCTTCTCACAGAAGGGAACAAATCTTTCAGTAAGTGTGGGTCAGTGTTTAGAGGGAAGTGATATTTGTGCAAAGATATATAGAGAAAAACTTGTACTCTGTCCTCTGAGCCAAATGACTTCAGTTCCTGCACATGGAGCGGGGAGGTGCAGAATAGAAGGAAAGGTTTGCCAAGAGCCTGGCTGGGGACTCTAATTGCTTCTGTATGTTCAGTCCAAAGGCAGATTTCATGAGCACATCGTGTGTGCACACACACCACCTGCATCTTCAAATGATGCTGATTCTGGATGCCTGCAGGACATGGCCACTTCCTGTTGAACAAAGAGGAAGGGATGGGGGTTGCTAGAAAATGGAAAATATGCAATTGTTCCCCTGCTTTATAGCAATTTAGAATTCTAATTGCCATGCAAAGAACAGATGTTGGGGCTCTGATAAGGATTAGTACTGGGGGAAGTAGGAAAGTGAAATTTCCCACTTCTGCCAGCTCTCATTCAGGGTCTTGGTTGAATCAGGCCACCAACATCTGTGATTTACTATTTCAACATTTACACCATTATGAAATGGTGTTATATCTTGTCCACCCTTAAGCAGCGACTGAGGCAGTATTCGCACTTGATGTCAGAGTTAGCCACAGCTGTTGGGCTTAGCCAACAGGGATTCATTTGATGTAATGGGCTGGGAGAAGGCACATGTCATAATTCAATTGCACTCAGGGACATTTAGTATCAAAGAAATACAGCAAGATCTGAAGTTGGACAGCACTGGAACTATGTTCCCCTCACCTGTGGTGTGCTCAAAGCCAACGAAGTGGGGATCCAATTTGCAGCATGGGTTAGTTTCCCCAATCTCAGGACTTGATCTTTCTTCTCTAATGCTCAAGGAAAGGGGGATGGATCTCTGGGTAAGAGCACTGCTTAGAAAAAGTGTGTGTGTGTGTGTGTACATACATACATGTTATGCTTGGCATTTTATACTACTCTGTTGTACTCTGCGAAATTGGCTAATGCAGCATAGGCAATGTAATCATCAGTAGGGGCTCCTCTTAGATCTCAAACCGTGGGATTGTCCTGACCTGGCAATCCCAGGCATAAGAGCCTGTATCTGGTGCCATTGCCTTTTAGAATTAGACTCCCACAGGTTAAAACAGAAGATATGAACAAAAGAGGAAGCACCTGTACAAAACAGTATTGCCATGCCCCCACAGAGACTTTATTATTTTATCTAATTAAGATTCCCTTAGTCAGAAGGGATTCAGTTCTTTACTGAATAGTTTATGAGAGGGAACCATAGGTAGTGCTTTCCCTTTAAGATTAACCCCCCCCACACACACACACACACACACACACACACACCTCCAGGGATGGAGGCTAGCAGCCAGATCCAGAAACTACCTTGAAGCCAGCCATTTAGAACAGTGTTTCCCAACCTGTGATGCATGGACCACCAGTGATCTGCAAGAACTAAAATATGGTTCGTGGCCTCACCATTAAACAAGAGCAATTGGTCTCGCAAAACCCTCTTATAGTGCCGAGGCTTATTAAATGTTTTTTTGTGGGCGAGCAGATGGCAACTACTGGATGGCATATGTTCTGTATCAGAAACTAGAGCTAATGTGGTCTAGTCAATGCCATTTTCTGAATCATCACCCCAAATAACAAAACCGAATCTAAAGTTGACCAAAAACTGATTCGTAACCATTTCGGTACTAATGTTGGAAAGTAGTCTCTGGTCAAATTGGTCCCTGTTCAAGTGGACCCTGGTCAAAAATTGGTTGGGAACCACAGATTTAGAAGAAGGGGCTGAGAAAAGCTAGGAAGTGAAACACATTGCATGTTAGAAGTGTTACAAGTCGAAGAATCCCTGCCATAGGTGTATAGACAACAAGGCAAAAAAGGACACACAAAAAAGGTACAGAATAAGCAAGAACTACAGCTGAGCCAAGCCTCCAACTTTTCCTACAAATTTTAGTTGTTAGTCCTGGAAAGAGTTAGAATTTTTATTTTTATTGCTCTATTAAATTCCTTATTAACTGTTCGCATGTGTAAATCAAACACTGTTCCTGGCGAGATTAGAGCACCTTCAAGAATAAGCTCGGGGGACAGAACAGGTACTATTCCTCCAATAAGATGAGAAATTCACGCACTACAGCTAGCTTCCAGGCTATCTCTGTGAAAAGGGCATAGGGATTATGCACTACTGAGTTTTGTGATTAATAAGAAGAATGTTAAGATGTGTAGGTATTTAGATCTGGTCTCAGGACCTCTTCCAGCCCACAGTAGAGCTGGGATCTGGCCTGTTGGCCTCCAGGCATGAAAAAGAAAACCTTGCTTTTTCTCAGCAGCGATCCCATCTAGAAATTAAAGGGAAATCTTAACCTTATCAGAGAGCCAGGGACACTGGAAGCTGGACTATCACAAAACACACACTTTTAGTACCCTCACTCAATCTTCCTACAAAGTTATAGAAAACTTGGGTTATGCTGAGACACCAAAACTTGTATCTTTGCAATGTTGTTTCATCACTTGAATACCTTAAAAGTACCAGATCCTGTCTGATCTTGGAAGCTAAGCAAGCTCAGTCCTGGTTAGAACTTGAATAAGAGCCAATGAATAACAGGTGCTGTAGGCTATATTTCAGAGGAAGGAATTGCAAAACCACCTTGGGGTATTTCTTGCCTAAGAAAACCCTATAAAAATTCATTAAGTTGTCATTGGTTGACAGGTAACTTGAAAGCATATATGAACACATACATAATGTATTGTATACTTTTAAAAACTGTACATGTTCCCAGAAGCCCATAGGTCCAGACCCTGGCAATTTTGCTCTCCCTAGCCAGACATCCACCCACTTTGTTCAGTGGCATTTCTAGCTGTTAGGTGACTCTCTATTAGGGACATGGTGGCTGCTGCAAAACGGGGAGAGGATAAATAGTTAACCTCCTCATACATCATGAGCAACCCAAAAGCCTCTCAGCTAGCAATCTCAGGAGATCATGTATGCACTGCCTGGTAGTAGAATTATTACATGATTTTATGCAATACCCTTCTAGGTAGCATGGGCAGGATTAGGAAGAGCCCAAATTTGGGACAGTGATAAGGTCTAGGGAGCACCTGTCCTTGTCGACAGAAGAAGAAGACACAGATGAGTTGCAGAGAGCCCTGAGTCCTCAGTTACTAAAGAAAAGGTCACAGTGGCAAATATGTGCTACTGAATCAGAGGGAGGTCAGGTGTTAGAGCCGTAGCAAACTACTGGAAGCGAGAGCGAGTTTGTGCTTGAGCTCGCTCCGAAGCCCCGCCTTTTTTCCCCCGAGGCTGCTCTCTCTCTTGCTAGTGTGCCTGGTTTCCCTTGCTAGGGAAGCGATGCGAGTGTACTCTCGCAGTTGGCAGAAGTCAACTGTGAGCGTACGCTCGCATCCCTGCCCTCTGCAATGGAAAACAGGCACGCTAGCAAGAGAGAGAGCAGCCTCGGGGGAAAAAAGGCGGGGCTTCGGAGCAAGCCCGAGCGCAAGCTTCCTGTAGTTTGCTGCGGCACGAGCGTATGCTCGCAACGCTGCCCTAGCAAAGGGAAATAGGCAGAGAAAGAGGCGGAGCATCGCTCGTGCTGGCTTAGTTTGCTCTCGCAAAATCCTAGTTTGCTACGGCTCTTACTCCTTGCAGAGTTGGTGAAATAAGAGCAATTGGCCAGCAGTGAGAGATTGATGCCAAGGAGAGAAGGGGGCCTGAAACTGATTTGAGATTAAGAAATAATTCAGATATAAATGCAGAAAAAAGCTACAGACTGAGGTCAATGGAGAACTGAAGAAGAAAAAGTTCTGTAAAGATGGTGGTTCTGGTTAGTTGGAAATTTAAAATATTAGCTGCCCATTTCTCTTTCCTCCTTCTTATCATAAGGAAATAGGCTTCTGTAAGAAAGAAAGAGTGTGAATGCTTGAAGTTCAGGGAACAGGAGGCTGTCTTGCTAAGTTGACTATTCCAAGCAGTGGCACGGGGCATTGATGTGACCTCTGAGATAGTGTTTACATAGGACGTGTCTTTGTACATGCTGAGGCCAGCTCAAGCATGACGGCCCTTCCAGACAAGGCCCATAATGTGGGAGCTCCTGCGGTTTTACAGAAGATGTCCAAAGGATGTCTTCGGTAAAACCCTGCTTTGTCCCAAATTAATTTGATACTCCATTAGACCTGAAAGACCCAGGTCTAATGGAGTATGGGCCCTGTGGGGACTGAGACTATTGAGGGGTCAGTCTACACAGCTCAATTTGCTTCTTTGGGCCTGGTGGGCCCAGAGAAGCTAAGAGGGAACCCATCTCCTCCCCACCCACACCCCCAACCTTTAAAAGAAAAGACAAACCCAGCCACCATTATGCCTTTCAGCATTGTTTTTGGAACATACCAATGTAGCACTCCAGGTGGCCAAATCGCTCCCCCCCCCCCCCCCCCCCCCCCCCCGGTCTCTTAGCACTACATTGGCATATTCCAAAAAACCATGCCAAAAGGCATAATGGTGTTGGGGTACCGTAAGTTATTTTCCATTTTAAGGCCTTTTGGGGAAGTTGTTGGGTGTCTCAGTGCCCTCTCGGAAGGTATCAGGAGGACATCTAGACACCCCCCAGGGAAAGAACACGATTTAGGGAGAGGTGTGTGGACTTAAATGCACTTTGGTACGGGTTTAAGTGTTGTCTGGAAGCAGCCTGAGATTTAGAAAAGTTGCTTGGGTGGGAGAGAGAGAGAGAGAGAGAGATGCATTGAGGATCAACTGAGTAAAGAATAACTTCATTGCACCTGTGTTCAGTGCACATGACATTCACAGGTTTGCAATGCTGTGCCTGTGTGATAAGTGGAGGGGACAGTCAAAGCAGGATAATCTACTCAGACCCATAATGATTATAGACAAGAGACACAGAGAGCATTTTCTGGTATTTTTCAATGGCACAATATAAGTGTATTGCGTAAGGAATTAGAAACCTTGGCCCCATCTACACTGCCATGTAATGTAGTTTCAGAATGCAGTTTAACTGCACTGAACTGGATTCCAATGGTAGTATAGACTCATACAATCTAGTTCAATGCAGTTAAACTGCATTCTGAAACTGCGTTATAAGCAGTGTAGATGGGACTCCGGTCAGTTATTTTCTGGAACACATTAACAATTACAAGCTCTTGAGTTGTCATGTTGAGAACTGGAGCAGTGTCTAGTACCTTTAATGACTGTGTAGAAATGGGAATTTCCAGAAGAAGTTCTCTCTTCTAGACAATCGTTAAAATTACAGGAGCTGTCTCCACTTCTTACTCCAGAAACACTAGTGATCAGAGCGATAAGCAATAGAACCAAAGGTTGTGTGATTGGGTTGAAGGATCAGAGGATGAAAGTGAGAAAGCTTATTGAAGGAAAATGTGACCATTATTTCATGTAGATAGAGATCCAAGTACTACAGTTGTCTTCAGAACTAGTGTGTGGCTTCTTGCAGAAAGAGCGTGTTGCAAAACAATGTGTAGAAATGTGCTGGAAGGATGGTGCAAGGTCAAATCTTAACGGTATTTTGTCCATCTGCCTGCAGATTCATGGCTCGGAGCTGGGCTTAACTAGGTACCCACTGAAGGTAACGTATGTATCATATTCATCACTAAAAACAGCATTGTCCCGCTCACCCTTGAACAGTCGCACCCAGATCTCGTCCTGGTCTTGTAACTCCAGCATGAGGCTCTGGCTCTGCATGATGCTTCGGTCACTGGCCTGTGCATACAATATGGCTGCCTCAGCCCCATTGTGCATGATGTGGAGGTAGGTCTCCTTCTGGTTCCAGGTGTGCACATTGAGACTGAAGAAGTACACGCCTGGCACGTAGCAATAGAACTTGCCTGTGAACATGTTGAAATGCCCATAGAGGTTCACATACTCTGTGTCGAAGATAAGTGTCTGGTAGTAGTCATTGCTGTGCAGAGGTTTCTTCCGTCCCACCGAAAAGGCAGCATAGTTGGTTTTGGGCCGCTCCCCCGGGGTTCCCATGTTGCCTTTTTGTCCCTTGAAGCCTGCTGGGCCCTTTCTTCCTGCAGAACCAGCTTTGCCCACCTTCCCTTGGGGGCCACGCTCACCATGGTCCCCTTTCTCACCTGAGTAATAAAGAGGACATCACTGAGAACCACTTCAGCCAGCCTGTTTTGCTCAAAAAAAGAGACAGTGATACATTTCAATAGTCTTCTCTCCTCTGTTCTTGAGGAGGAGAGATGCCTAGAATTAAAATGACTCAGTCAGTCCAGTTGATCATTGAGTAAGCATTATGCTCACCCTTGTGGTGAAAATATGTTTGCCAGGCGGGATGCATCAGAGGAAGTGAAGCTACCTTTAGTGTTAAATAGAATTGCCATTGAATTTTATCACAACAAACACAAAAGCAAAGTAAGAGGCTTCCACATAAATTAAGCATATGAAATAGAAATGCAATCTGAATCAATCCAAACATTAACAAGTAACTTTTATTAACTTTTGGGCATCAGGTAGAGGGAAAATCACTTAGCTAAGGAGAGGAACTGTGCATACAATTTTCCAGCTCCATCCATTTGTAAAATGTATTGAGAAGACTTCAAGGGTTCAGCAATATTGGGCCTGCTTTGATGACACAACTTCTCCATCTTTCCCTTTCTGCCAGCCCAATCAGGCCATGTCCTAATGCAACCTCTGCAGCCCTGGGTTTGGTTCAAGACTAATTTGGCGGTTAAGGAAGCAGCTTGGATAAAATTATAATAACAGTGCCTTCGGGCCAGGAAATTTATTTAGCTCATACATTTTATCCCAAGCAGGCCCCTCTGGAATCTAAAGAACCCAAAGTTCATCCAAAGATATCCACCCCACCCCAATGTCCAAAACAAGGAGGCTGAAAACAAACTTACTCCTGGTCTTAAATCCCACACTGTTGTTGCTCTCTGCTAAATGAATACAGTTTGATTTTGACAGAGGCACTTGAGAGAAGGGACAAAACTACAGGTCCTAAAATGAAACCATCGCCCTTCCTTGAGCAGAACATAGGATTGACAGGCCACAACCTGTAACTCTCRCCATGTTCCTTTAAATTCTCTGAAACATTAAAAGTCAAGGCTGCTGCAAGCTTTTCCACCCATTCATCCTCTGGCTCTGTTGTCCACCCTTTTCCCCATCTCCTGCAACAACAAATAGTGGGGGGGGGGGGGATGTATCAGGAGCAACTTGAGAAACTGCACATTGCTTCTGGTGTGAGAGAATTGGCTGCCTGCAAGGACATTGCCCAAGAAACGAACGGGTGTTTTACCATCCTGTGGGAGGCTTCTCTCATGTCCTCGCATGAGAAGCTGGAGCTGACAGATGGGAGCTCACCTGCTCCCTGGATTCGAACCGCCGACCTTTAAGTCAACAGTCCTGCCGGCACAAGGGTTCAACCCACTGCGCCATCAGGGACTCCGTGGAGGTGGGTAAGAGGACCCAAAGAAAGAACTGGCAGGAGACACTCTGGCAGAAACTGGGATTATTATTTTTTTGTCATAGCATTTCTTTTATTGGCCTTTAAAATGTTCCAGTTTCTTCCACCTTCTCTCATTTGCCCCCTTTGTCCTCAGCTTCCTTCGGGTGTTGAAAACTGAATTCAGAGGGGGGAAAGCAATTTTTATCAACTAACTTAGCAGAGTAGGAGATGACAGGAGAGGCAACACCAAAAATGTTCCTCTGAAGATGCCAGTCACAGATGCAGGGAAAATATCTGGAGAAAATGCTACTAGAACATGGCCATACCGCCCAGAAACCACACAAACTCCACTGATTCCAGCCATGAAAGCATTCGACAACAAAATGTTACAGCCTTTTCTACTTTGGATGGTTTTTTTTTCTCTTTTGTTGCCCTCTTGGCCACACTGTTGTTGGTTGGCCACTTTTCATTCTCAAACTGCTGGAGGGTATGCAGCATGCAGTATGTTCAGAGTGCTGCTGAATTCCCATTGTTGCAGCAAGAGCTCACTGCAGAAGCTAGGTTTGGGCTCCCTCTAATTTTAATTATCACTCTAGAATTAAAAACAGCGCCAGGCACTTGAATTTGATGCCATCATATTTGAGAAGGTTATAAAAAGAGAACAGACAAATCAGTCATGGCTGCTATTACATAGGATTGTCTGCGGCAGGCCTCAGGGTACCAGTTCCTAGGGGGCAGTAGGGGAGAGTTATTATCCTCTTGTCCAAATGCACCTGGCTTACCATGTACAAAACAGGACGCTATACAAGAGAGCCCTTTGGTTTGATGATCCAGCAAGGCTTTTGTTAGATTTATGTGGACAACGGCATTCTATGGTAATTGCCCAGAGTGCCTCAGAGCAATATTAGGACACTGTAGTAAAGTTAAAATAGCTCTCGCAGAGACAATTGGCTCCAATAAGCATGCCACTATTATGTTGCCTTCACCGGGACCTATTCCTAGGAAGATGCTCACCAGAGGGCAATTCACACCTGTGTATCTGGACATGTCTGGATGAAAACCCAAATGATTCCACTTAAAATTCATCCATTGCCTTCAGGCCTTGGGTGAATAAACAATCAGGCAGAAATAGCACCAAATTCCCCAGCACAGATCTCTAGCAAGAAAGGCTAGCAGAACCCCTGCAAGTCAGTTTTCTGTTTGCTCATGGTCCCATCACTCCTCTCATTCCCTAATGTCTAAGCTCTGAATCCACACAAGTGGACTCAGTGCCCCTTACCTTTCAGGATGGTAATGTTGATTTGAGGCAAAGGCTGGTACATTGGGTATGCCGCAAAGCCCTCAGGAGGATCACAGCAACGTACACACTCGGACCCTCTTGACTGCTTGCTGTATTTCCGATATTCATTCTCAACTCTAGAAGGCAGAAAGGCACAGATAGGCTGAACCACAGGAAGAAAAACAGAGAAAGGGGAAATTGAACACAATAACAACCACATAACTCCCTTTTGCACCTGCCAGTGTGAAAACAGGAGATGCTTCCTGTCCCTTATAGTTGTGTAGAAGAGAGGGTCTCTGCAGACATCACTTGTTGCCTGGCTGCATGGGAAGCAACATCTGCTGAAATCCTTTCTTCTTTTACACATCTGTTGAACGACAGGCGGTATCTGTTGAAGGGCAGGTGTTGAAGCCCAGCGTACCTGTCTGAACGTATCTCGTTCTGTGTCCCACTTAGGAATTTAAGATCTTCTGAGGAGGCCCTGCTCTTGGCCCCACCTTTATCACAAGTGAGGCTGGTGGGGACGAGGGACAGGGCCTTCTCGGTGGTGGCCCCCCGCCTGTGGAATTCGCTCCCCGGGGAAATCAGATCATCGTCATCCCTTCTCTCTTTCAAAAGGAAGTTAAAAACTTGGATATTTTATGTGACTGCAAGTACAGAAAAACAAATGGAAGGAAAGGTGGAACCTGTTGACATGAATTACTGAAAGCTACGTCTAAACATTGATGTTTAGCTGTAGCTTATCTGTTACAAGCAAACAACCAATTTATCTGCACTCTCTTATTCTACTCTCTCTGGCTTCTACTCAAAGGCAAGTTCAGGCCTTCACCTGAGCTGGCATAGGTATCTGTAGCAGGTGCTGAAGGCCAACTATGCATATCCTGGGTCTCTTCCTAATCCCAGGCCATCCACATGCTTGCGGCTAATATAGGCCCCTTCTACACTGCCATATAAAATCTACATTATCTGCTCTGAACTGGATTATATGGCAGTATAGACTCATAATCTAGTTCAAAGCAGATAATGTGGATTATCTGCTTTGATAATCTCAATTATATGGCAGTGTAGAAGGGGCCATAGTTTCCAGACCCTCCAACATTTCACAGATGAAAACTAGGACATGTGTACACAAGCAACATCAGAGTGTGGTCAGGATGGCAAAAGTTATTAACAAAGCAGAAGTAGAAGAGGCTGCTTGCTTTTGGCTGAGATTCTGCCCTCCTTTCCTCCAACTGAGTGCAAATAACATCTGCATTTTAAACTCCATTTATAATAATTGGCAAAATGGGAAGTAGTAGAAGAAGAAAAAATGGGGAGATTTTAAGAGCATCTTAGACTCCTTCTGCACTGCCATATGAAATCCAGATTAATGCAGTTTTTGAATTGCATTAAACAGTCAGTGTACACCTATATAATGCATCTTGAATCAAACTGAACTGCATTATATGGATCTATACTGACCATTTAACACAGTTCAAACTGAATTTCTGGTTGCGAAAGTTAACCAGACTACTTATGCCAATGATGGAAGATTAATCAAACTGGAGGCAGCTATATTAGATGTAATGGCTGTAGCCAACCCCCTTTGGGCAACCCAAGACCTTTGATTTAGTGGCTAGTAAGTTCAAACTGAATTATTTGGCAGTGTAGATCCAGCCTACATTGAAGAGAACTCCAGAAAACTTAGGCAGTTTCTACATTGCCATATACAACCCGGATTATCTGCTTTGAACTGGATTATGTGGCAGTGTAGATTCATATAATCCAGTCCAAAGTGGATAATGTGGATTATCTGTTAGATAGATAGATAAATTTTATTATGGTCCAGAGACCCTTATTACACTGTAGCATACAAGTTATACATGAGATTAAGAACATCCAGTGGATAAAATTTGCAAACAGTAAAAGCTGCTTAAAACACATGTTGGCAAAAAAAAAAAGGTAAAAGATTATCTGTTTATAATCTGGATTATATGGCAATGTAGAAGGGGCCTTAGAATAATCACAATTCTCTAAATTAAAGCAGCTGAGACATAATAGATGTGAATGCTGTCCCGCACACCATTTGAGGAGCACTGAGTTCACTCTGCACACATCAGCACTGGGTTGGTGCCAGTCAGCTCACTTAGTAGTTATGCATCTGTTAGTGAGACAGATATGCCCTCCAGCTGTACCCATTAAATAGGTACAACGTCTTACTTTCTCCTCACTTGTAGCAGGCTGCTGCTGACTGGTGCCAGATTTGGGTGAATAAAATTGGCTTTTTCCAGGAACAACAGATATTCTAGCTTGAAGTTTGCATAAAATTCTCGCAGCTCCAAGAACACAGATATTCTAGCTCTGTAACTACCACATTCAAGAGAGAAGAAGGTACGCATCTTTGGAAAGATGTTTCCAGTGCTGTGCCCCCTTGTGCTTTAAAACAGGGCCCCATAATTCCTAAGGAGTTGTCTGTCTGAAATCATAAACCGGCAAGTGATTTGCAAGTCTCTGCAGGGGAATGGGAGGGAGAAAAATGTGAGTTCAGTATACAAAACATTGCCTAGGCTATGAATTTTAAATGTAAAACTGTCACATTGGAATCAAGATCCACTTGCTCCTCAGACAGCTAAGCAGCCTTCAAAGATGCAGCTATGTTTATTATCATGTGTATTACATGAGAATGAAGGTGGTGGCTCACAAGAGATTTGATGAATAAATCTAGGAAAGGGGGTAGTTCTTGCTGCTATTTTCCATGAGAGGGAAAAGAGGTGAAATAAAATTAGTAGCGCAATCCCTTTTGCCAAGTCAGAATAGATCCACCATGAGGCAAGATAAGGCAAACATCTCAAGAAGCAGTTTTTGGTCATCTTGAACTGGCAAAAGCAAATGGTCTGTAACTGATTTTGTGGTTATTGTATGTTTCGTTATCAGATATGAGATTTCCTGCCCACTTTGCTTATGTGCACTCTAACTGAATAAATTGAAAGAATAGTATTTGTTGCTCTGCTTCAGAGAGCAACAAGATTTGTGCTAGCCTTGTTCTGAGCCTCTATCAAAACTGTTTCAAAACTTTCCTTCAGGGACCAAAACAGCTTCAGATTGGATGAAGATGTGAAGCTGTACCAATTTACTGAGGTGGACTAAGTGTATAGACGGGACCTTCGGAAACATGGCCCTTTGTGGTACGGAGTTACATAATGCAATACTCAATCTACTTAAATTAACCTTAATTTTATGCTTCTGATACTGCCATTACAGGCTCTTTTTCAGTCATTTAAACCTCCTCCATAGCCATTATCAACCAGTAGCCTTTGGCTTCATTTAAAGTGGGGCAACCCAACTGAGTTAACTGCACATTAACTGTGCATGGAAATGTACATTAATGAGGTTAATTGGGCTTTGAAGTACATTATGAAGTTAGTTCTTTAACTGACACACTTCTACCAAAAAGCCATTCGACTCTATTGCCCAGGTGGTAGTAGTAGTAGTAGTAGTAGTAGTTGTTGTTGTTGTTGTTGTTGATGATGATGATGATGTGTGCCCCCAAACCATTTCCAATTTATGGCAACCCTAAGGTGAACTGATCACAAGGTTTTCTTGAAAAGATTGTTCAGAAAGGGCTTGCCTTCACCTTCTTCTGAGACTGAGAGTGTGTGACTTGCCTAAAGTCACCCATGACTTTCCACGCCCAGGTGGAGAATCTGTTCTCCAGAATCATAGCCCAATGCTCAAACCACTACACTACTGCAGTTTCTGCCTAGGGATATTATATATCTAACTAGACCCCCATGAGCGAGCCAAACAGCACACAATTAAAAGGCAAAGTTGTTGCTTATTGTTACTTTCTTCTCCACCATCCTCATGACCCACCTGGAATTGTGATGCTGGGGTGGTGGTTGTGTTGGTGCTTCAGGCATCTCTTCCACATCATGCTCATTGCAACGACCCTGGAAGAGGAGGCAGGTGAGCAGAAGGGCACATGTTATCAGTGGTCCCTTCATTGCTTCAAGCCCTATAGAAGAAAAAGAAGAAAGAGTTAGACACGTAGACAGGTGCGTAGCCAGGATTTTGATTCGGGGGGGAGCTGAGTTTGATTCGGGGGGGGGCTGAGGATCTACCCCAGCAAACCTTTTGTATCTTTATCCCAATACCCCCATGCATATAGGATATATTGAGCATGGTGATCAGATCATGATATGAATAAACATAACAGTTTAAATAATGTACCAGTAAGGCCTTCTTGCAGACCACCCTGAGAATTTGGGGGGGGGGGCTGAAGCCCCTCAAGCCCCCCCCCCCCTCCTTACATGCCTGCACGCAGAAATGCTGGAGGGAGGGAGGTGTGGAAGAGGAAGGAAGAAGAGAACATCTCACTTCATTACAATTCTGCTGAGGTCTCTTTCACACTATATAATTTTAGTTGTTTGGTTCCATTTTAATTGTCATAGTTCCACCCTATGAAATTTGGGGATTTTTAATTTGGGGAGGCATTCTGAATACCTCACAAAATTTTAAATGTCGTAGAAGGGAGAAATGGCAGTTAAAGTGGTATCAAATTGCTATGATTGTGTAGTGTGAAATAGATCTGATTCTCAGGAGGAAGGTAGGAGTTGATTGACTCTGCCAGCCAAGCAGAAAATCGACTCGAATATTAGCTGAGAGCAACAAGCATTTAAACCAAGCAAAGATGGGATGCCCAAGAGCTACTCACCTCTGCACAGCAGTCCGGCTCCAACAGTTATTTCTTTGATGGCCAGTTGAATGTTAAGGGGAGGCACATGTATCTTAGAACACAAAGTGGACAGACACCAGGGAGGAGTGCCAATGGTGGTTCCTGACAGATATCCACTTTGTGCTCTGATATCTCTGTAAAAGAAGGGAAGGGAATGCCATACTTAATATAGCTCTTTCACTCCAATCCTAGGAGCCCCCGGTGGCACAGTGGGTTAAACCCTTGTGCTGGAAGGATTGCTTACTGAAAGGTTTGAATCTGGGAAGTGGGATGAGTTCCCATCTGTCAGCTTCAGCTTCCCATGCAGGGACACACAAGGATGGTAAAACTTCTGAGCATCCCCTGGGCAACATCCTTGCAGACGGCCAATTCTCTCACACCAGAAACAACTTGCAGTTTCTCAAGTCAGTCCTGACACAAAAACCCCACTCTAATCCTATAATGAGGGCTACTAGAATGTAGTTATAGACCAGCAATTTTGAGAGCTATTTATATACAATCAGCTTCCTATCTGAGGTGATCTGTATTATAATACCCATGATTCTCAGCCAGTCTGACCAGTGTTTTCATCAAAGCAAGGATCATCAAATATAATCTTTGCCATGCCAAGAAATGGGAAAATGTTACAAGTGGAAAATTGAAGGTGGGATTGAGAGTGAAACATCCCTTTCTCCACTCATTCCCACTTAACAAATTCCCCCTTCACCACCATTTTGCTATAGAGGTTTTCTGGGCTTGCATCTCTTACAGAAAGAATAGCTAGCTCAGCAGCATGGGCAAACTGGGCAAGAAAAATCCCAAGGAGACCTAAAAGGTCCCGTTTCCAAATTCCCATACTGTCTCATATAAATTAAAAATGCAGACATGGGTAGATAAAGATTGGAAAAGTTTTTGATGAGAAAAACCACAATTTATCTACAACACATTTGATGTTCTGATTCACTGCCTTCCTGGTGCCTTTTGGCTGCCTGCTACAGCTATCTAATAGCTCTGTCCCAGGACAAGCCTGTAATTCCACATCAGTTTGCATGCGAGTACAAAAACATACATGAAAATGTGCCTTGCCTTTATTCTATCATTAGCCAAGGCCATGTAGCAATGCCAAGGAAAACTGGGCAAGCCTCCTAAGATTTGTGGTCAAAGAGCATCTGGGAATATTCCCGGGGAATAAATTGCTCAGCTGGGTCAAAAACCAGAACCAGCAGATTCTCATGTTAATGGTAATTATGTATCACAGAGCAAAACAGTAAGGTACATGAAGCAAAGAGCATTGCTCTAAGCCATGTGCAAATAGGAATTGTTCTCATACAGGCCATATTTATGGACCAAGCACCTAGCCCTCACATGCATGCATGACAGCTGAGCCACCATCACAAGATATGGGCAAAGAACAGGCAAGTCATTCTACAGTGTATTCAAGAGTACATGATCTTTATTACAGATAAAAACTGTTTTGAAATGTATTTGCTTTCTTCCAATGGATTTATGGGAAGTGCAGTGTTCTGCAGATGATGAAATCTTAGGCCCTGCAGAATTATAATTCTCAAGAGTGCTTGCGAGAAGCTATTTTAAGAAATGCCGGAATATAGACCCCTTTGCAATGAAACCAACATTCACGATTCTCAGTGCATAGTGCAAATATACCTGTGTATGCCAGATTCAGTTTTCTCCCATGTACTGTATTTGCTATATATTTTGAAAACAATATGGATGTGCTCGTGGTGTGTCTCACATAAAGTTTGTTAGCAGCATAGTCTGTAGGTAGAACTTGCTAATATAACTTAGCCTACTAAATTTCTAATAGCATACATTTATATGAGTTCAGCAATGCTATGCTGGCAAACTTTGTACATGGAGATATATAAGGCTCAAAGCTTCCAACATTTTATTTTTAAATTACAACTTCCAGAATCTTAAGGTGTATGCTTTCATAACAAAAATGAATCCTGGCCATTGTATATGGCATATCTCATCTGTACATAGAACTGGCCATGTTTGTATGTGTGCGTGCACACATACAAATAGAGAAACATGTGTGCTAGGCTTGGGTGATCCAGATCGTTAATTTCTTTATTCGTTATTTATTCGTTATTATTTCATAATTAGAAGCGATATTGATGCGTTTTAGCAACCCGGAAGTGTTTTGCCCATATCGAAGCCGCATCCGCCATCTTTAAAATGACTTCCGCCAGTTTCGTTAGTGATGTCACAGGTGCTGGGATGCTGGGAATGGTGGGCTTCCAGCCAATGAGGAGACGCCAGGTATTGGGGAGTGGTTTCTGAAGGGCGGCCATTGGCCTTTAAAAGCGGCTGCGCGTGCCTCGTGGTCCCATTTCTGCTGGGGAAGCGACGGGGAAAGGAGGGCTTCAGGTTGCTGTGGCTTTTGGGTCCAAGGTGCTGGGTGCTTGGGAGCAGGGAGGTGCCTGCCTTGCTGTGGCTGTGCCTGCCTGTGGGTGCCACAGGAGAAGACAGAGACCAGAGGGTTGGGAGGAAATCTTTTTCCTTTTTTTGTAATTATTTAATTATTTAAATTTTAATTTTTAAATTTTAATTTTTTTAATTCTTTTCTTTTTTAATGTTTTTTCTTGGGGAAAAAAAACAAGGTAGCATTGTTAGCTATTTGTAAAAGATGTATAAATGTGACTTTAAAGACAAAAAAAGTCCCATTTATAATTCAAACCCCTTTTTTTCTTTTATTAATTTTTTTTCTTCCTTGGCGAAAGAAAAGAAGCCAAGTACTTGGGCTTCTTGGGTGTGCAGCTTTCACTCTGTGTTACACTGGTGTCTGTGCTGTTCAATCCATTATTCTCTGCCATCCTTTTGCCAAGGGGACTTCTCCCAGACTGCATCACCACTGTGCTTTGTAATCTGCTTCCTCTAAGCAGGACCATTTGCTGTCTCCTGGCCACTTTGGCCAAGGGGTCAACCCATTACTGTATCACCACTGTGCTTTGTAAGCTGATTTGAAATTTAATAATTTAATTGTTTTTCAAAGTGCCATTTTTATTTATTTATTTATTTATTTTCTGTATTTTTATATTATTTTATTATTAATTTATATATTTTATTAAATTTTATTTTATTATCTTACTACTTATTTCATTATTTTATTATTTTATTTCATTATTTTATTATTTATTTTATTATTTTATTGAATAAATTAATTAATTTTAATTTATTTTAATTTGTATTTTTAATTAATTAATGCATTTAAATGTCATCCTGATTTTTTTTAATTTGGTTTTGGTTAATTGAAAGTTTTATCAGCAAGAATCAACCGCAGAGGGAGTGGGAAGCTTCAGAAGTTCCCCCTGTCCCGTTTGCGCAATAGCGTCCACCATTAATGAATAGATTCGTAATTAACAAAATTTCATAAATTTCAAAATTTTGAAATCGGAAAATTCAGAAGTCCTATAAAAATCAAAACGCCAGCGCCCCCTAGAAATGAAACGAGTTTAGAACCAATTTTTTCCTTGATCACCCAAGCCTAATGTGTGCCATTGATGTAAAGCCCTCATATATGAACGAAGTATATTGTTTATTTAAAGCAGTGGTTCCCAATCTGTGGTCCATGGACCACCAGTTGTCCCCAAGATCTAAAATGTGGCCTCACAGTTACTACACCATTGCAAGAAGAGTGATTAGTCTCGCGAAACTCTCCTATAGTGTGAGTCTTATCAAATATGGTTTTCTGTAGGTAAACAGATGATGACTACTGTATGGCATATGTTCTGTATCAGAAACTAGAGATGATGCAGTCTATCCAGTGCAATTTTCTGAATCGGCACCCCAAATAAGCGAATCTAAAGTTGACCCAAAACTGATTTGTAGCACTTTTGGTACTAATGTTGGAGAGTGGTCCTTTATCAGAGTGGTCCCTGGTCAAAAAAAGGTTGGCACAGTGGATAAAGCGCTGAGCTGCTGAGCTTGTTGACCGAAAAGTCACAGGTTCGATTCCGGGGAGCGGCGTGAGCTTCCGCTGTCAGCCCTAGCTTCTGCCAACCTAGCAGTTCGAAAACATGCAAATGTGAGTAGATCAATAGGTACCGCTCCGGTGGGAAGGTAGCAGCGCTCCATGCAGGCATGCTGGCCACATAACCTTGGAGGTGTCTACGGACAATGCCGGCTCTTCGGCTTAGAAATTGAGATGAGCACCAACCCCCAGAGTCAGAAATAACTGGACTTAATGTCAGGGGACAACCTTTACCTATATCCTACCTCATCACACTCAGTGCATAAGAGAGCTTGACCACATGCAGCTCTGCTTAGTTTCAGCATCACATGCCCCAAGACTACAATCTATTGTTATGCACAACAGCAGGAAAAACCTTCACAGATGCCCAAGTGCAGCCCTATGGACAGGGGGTCACCATGTAGACAAAGAAGCCTGTAGTCTCCATGTGGGCTCCAGTATTACAGAACTGGCATCCCTTGGTAAAATCTGAGCATAAGCATTTTGAGATGGGCTGCATAATCTTGCATGGCCAGTCTATTTTAGGCTATTATTAAAATAGTATGGAATCATTGTTATGAAACAGTATTTTATATTTAGTGAGGGAGCCAATCTATTTTAGTTGTTGTTTATAAAGCTGTGTTCTGAAACAGTGGAATGTGAAGAACCCAAAATCTAAAGAAGCATCTCATTACCCCACCCCTCCCTATCACCTGTTATTCATTATAAAACATGAAAAATCTCCTAAGAAGTATACAAGAAACAAGTAACAGCATGAACAACTGAATACATCATTTAACAGTAAGAAGAAAGCAACACAAAGAGGTGAGCCAGACATGCATCCACTATGTGTCTGGTAGAAGCATATTTGCACACACACACACACACATCCCGAGAGGCAGGACACATAACTGGACAAAAACAGGCTTATATATGTGGCAATGAGAACAGAGACACAAACAATGATGTGTGCAATGAGACTCTGTTTGTTTTTTCCGGTTCCCTTTGGCCACCCTCCATCGCTCAAGTTCCTGATATAGCAGCCGGTGACATCTGGGAATACAGAGCTGTCATATCCTGGAAAAATTCCTATCTGCTGTAAGTACCCCAGTACTTGGAGTTCATTTCACTGAGAAGACATTGGAGGGTGGAAAGGAGGACAGGATCCTATGTCCTCACCTCACTGCTATCAAACCGCTTGGACAAGAGCTCAAAAGAAAGGAAACCACACTTGGACTGGGAAGACCTGTGGTGGTCCACATTTGCTCACAGCCAAGTGCAGGGAATTACTCAAAAGCTGTTGGTGGCAAGAATGCCAGCAGGCATAGGATCCAGAGAAAGAATCACTGTTCCCATTTCCTGTGCCAGAGCAATAGTGTTTCACTCAGACTGGCAGGTAGGGTTTGTCCTCGGCTGACATTTCCACCAAAAAATATTTTATGGAAGGATGAGGTTTCCCTGCAGTAAAAAAACAACTCCTCACTTATAGAGGAGGAGCATTCTGGGGATGTTTCTGACTTTGTACAAACCAGTTCTAAGCAGGAATTGATAATAATATGGTGAAAAACAAAAGCAACCTCCCAGCTCCATGGACTTGTATATTATGGTTCTCCAGATGTTGTTGTTCAGCAACTTACATGATCCTTCACTGCTGTCTGTCCCACAACATCTGGAAGGCCATAGCAGGGGGAACACCAAAAATGTTAGATTCTGCCCCTTCTAACCAGTTCCCTTCCCCTATACATAAGACATCTAAAAACAACCAGCCTCCTAAGGGCCTTAGTTCCTTCTGGCAGAAGGGGCATTGTAGAAAATTCCCAGGGACCGTTCAGCTGTTAAAACCTCAGGCAGTCCTGCATCCAACCTAAATATATCAATCCCAGTTCTTTTGTGTGCGTGCTCACAAAGTTCCCCAATGTCCTCCTAAGCAATTGATCCCAGTTGGCTGGCACCTACCTTTGGGGCAGGACTAGAGGATGCCAGAGCCACTGCTTGTCTTTGCCTTTGTTCTTCTAGAGCATCCCCTTCCTCTGAATAAGCACTTTTGCTGCTGCCACCACTCTGTTAGTGGGGTAGAGAAGAGAAATAGCTGGCAGCCCTGCGTCTCTCACCTTCAGATCCCAGGCTCTAAGCAGAAAATACGCTTTCTGAGAAGTCAAGAGAGAGAGAGAAAGAGAGAAAGAAAGGGGCAGATACTGCATGCCGGGCCCTCCTCCCTCAGATGGGAGCACAGCTGCCGTTAACCATATGTATACCCAGCACCCACAGCTGGAGCAGGGAAGGCAGGTTTCCTTTGCCAAAAAGTATCTCCAGATGTTGGGGTCCAAAGCCAGGGAGGGAGGGAGAGAGGGAAGGAAAATGCTGCCTAAAGCAACGGAGAGCAAATTGGCAGGCCAGACTAACAGTTCTGAAGCTGTTGTCAGCTGGCACAAAATCCCACTGCCAACTCACCTCTGGCTGTTTGATGTTGCGCACCCCACTTCGATCAAGTAACAAGATTTTCCAGGCACACTGCCCTTGGTTCTGGCTTCTTTTGGAGAAGAATGCATTTCGTAGACTTACTATAAAGCATTTATAATGTTTACTTTGTTTGCATAAGTATTGTCATGTGTACTTGATTTACATTTTTTGCCTGGTTCAGTTACACAAGTAGAAGTTTAGTCACATATATTCTCATTGAGCAACAGATCTGCCACCCTCATATCCAAAGTGAGGGGGGTCTCTATACCTGAGGATAAACTCAGCTCTCAACCTTAGGCCTGTTCACTCTGTTCCAGAATCTCCTTCTCTGGGATGCAAAATTTACATGCCAAACTGCAAGTATCTGGTGAAGTGTGATTGAGTAAAGGGTAAGCTGGCATATTTTAACAGTGAAGAGACTGTACTAAGATTTAGGAAGTATAAATCTGGTATCTTCTTACTAAATAAATTCAGACAATATGTTCTTTTTCAGCCAGAGCCGTCACCATCTGGAATATGGGGGGCAGTAACACTTAAAGAATTGCTGCAAGGGTTAGAAAATATTGTATGCAACGCACTTTGTGATCCAGTCTAAAGAGCTATATTTCCAGAGGGATGAAAATCAAGATGACTCCATTGTTTTGGCTGAACAAACAGCCAACTGCTCCTCTTCATGAACTGCTTATATTCCAGCTAAGACTTTCTGCCTGAGTTTGCTCCCTACCCTCTCCCCCCTTTCTACTCCGTCTTTTCCTTTTGTATCTGACATTCATATAGTCAACGTGAGGGCAGGTTCTGTCTTGTTTACAGCTGAAAATATGTAAGCTACTTTGGGAGCTTTTTCAGCTGGGAAACAATGCGAAAATGTTACAAATAAACAAACTGGGTTATGCTCTGTACAGATATGCTTTGAACCAAATACATAGAGGAAGGCAGGATATAAAAAATAATGGGGAGTTGGAATACTAAAAAAAAGAAAAAGGGAGGAAGCAGAGTTCTGTCTACATTGGTGTTTTAACTCTTGCTACCAGGAAATATAAGAAGCAGAAAGCTATGTGCAGCCATGATGAGTCCCATTCTAACTGGCACTTTGTCATGATCATCCTTTTAGTCTTAGGCATAAAGACAGAAAAGAAACTTTGCACATATATGTCTCAAAGGCCCCTTCCATACAGCCCTATATCCCAGAATATCAAGGCAGAAAATCCCACATTATCTGAGTGTGGACTCAGATAACCCGGTTCAAAGCAGATATTGTAGGATTTTCTGCCTTGATATTCTGGGATATAGGGCTGTGTGGGCCCCAAGAATGTATCCTCCAAACCCAGTTTTCAGTCCCTCAAGATTTACGCCCTAGAGATTTAAGCACAGAATTGTTCCTCAAAAGGACAGGGATAGTCAAAGGCCATGGATATAGCTTGGCAGCTAACAGGACAAGTATACAATATAAAACTAAATGGTCACTGATCAGCACAAGCACCCTGGGAAGGGGAAACACAGCTCCCCAGCGAAACAGTTATGAAAAAACAAAATAGAAAACAGTTTAAAAACACAGTTTAAAAACACAGGTTAATGTAGCAGGTATGGCACCAAGGGGGGAAGACTGATAGGAAGGTCCAAAGCACATAGGAGGGGAAGAGAAGGGGCTGCATGCGGCAAGCCTCCACCTCCACTCCACTCACTTGTATGTGTGTGTGTGTGGCCGTGCATGTGCGCCTGGCTTTAACGGGCCGGCTGTTTCCCCGCGAGGAGGAGAGGGGGCGTGGCCATGGGTCTCGGTAGACATGCAGGTTTTCCTTTGTGGACATGCAGTTTAGAAGTCCTTTCTGCTTTTTGTTTTCGTTGTTTCTTTTTAGTGGAGAACATACATTGGGTTGTTAGGGACATAGTGTCCAAATTTGGTGTCAATTGCCCCAGTGGTTTCTGAGTTCTGTGAATAGCAGAAACGAACATTACATTTTTATTTATATAGATGTTGTAATGAGATTAGTTCTAAATAAGACAAGTAGGCAAGAGAGAACAGTGTGGGTAAAGCATTCTGCTGTGCCTGCTCAATGTAAGATCTTGACCCATGTCTTGCACTGTCAGTCCAATACAACACCATGGTTAGTGATATCTCAAGATGCTGAGAGATTAGGAGAATGTACAGATTTAAATCCACAATCTTGTTTTTCATCAGGAGCAAGTCAGGGTGACCAAGACAGTCTTAGTACTGAAACTAAGCCTTAGCCCAGACTGAAATGGGACCAGATGATCTGTTTGCTTCAAGACTACCTTAAAGTGCCTAATCATCACTAACACAAAAAGTTGCCTTCCATTATGTATACTTGCTGACTCTTCAGTGTACATAAAGGCCTTATTAATGAGACATGCCAAGATGAAGCTCAGTATTAGCTAGCTCGTTGATAAAAAGCTCCATCTATGTGTTCATAATACTATTGAAATTTATTTAAAAACGTATCTTCCTTTCTAAAATATATACATTAAAAATTCAGTGACCTCACATATATAGAAATCATGTCTGTAAGGGAAACACTGGCATAATAAATAATAGAAAAGGTAAAAACGGTAATGAGTAATTGGCGGAACCAATATTTTGCCATGAATTTATCCCACTAATAATTCTTTGAGGAAAAATAGTGGCCTAAGTGGATGACTGCTTTCCAAAGTGAAATCTGCAAAGAAATGGCTCATATAGAACCAGCAGTCTCTACTTGCTGGTTCTGTACGAGAACATTACGGTAATGCTCTATGACAACCACAAACTGTAGTGGTTTGAAGGTGGGAATAGGACACTGGGAGACCAGGATTCAAACCACAATTTAGCCATGTAAACCCAATGTCTGACATAGGACCAGTCACACGCTCTCAGATTATGGAAAGAGCAAACTCACTCAGAGCAAATTCTGTCAAGAAAATCCCATGGTAGGTTCACCTTAGACTCACTACAAGTGAGAAATTTTGGGAAGGCACACATCAGCATGCCTTATGTGAGCTGCTTTATAAGACTTCAGAAATTTCAGCTGGTCCAAAGAGCTGCAGCCACACTATTAATTGAGAACCACAAAATTCCCTTGTTGTAACAATTCCAAAAGTCCTATATGTTTCATGTCTAGCTTATCTGAATAACATATTCTCCATTTGAGCCTGCCTGTGTTTTGAGATCTGGGAAAGCACTTCTCTCTGTCCCATCACTCTCACAGATACCTTTGTGGGAACACAGGAAAGGAGCAATTTGAGAACAGCTTTCTTGGTGGCTGGCTTCTCCCAGACTCTGGGACTCCCTTCAAGAAGAGGCTAGACTGTCACCTTCCTTGCTATCATTCAATAGGCAGGTGAAGACTTTTTTGTTTGTTTGTTTCAGATATTTAAAAAATTGGTTCTCCAGAGGAAAGGAGCTTCTTGTGATCTACTGTACCTTCCCCCACCCCCCAGTCCTTTTTATGGTTATGTTTTTAATTCTATGGCTTAATTACATTTTTTAACTTTGGTAGGGTGTGATCTTTTAATTATATCTGTTCCTATTTTTTGTAAACATGAGAAAGCAGGGAACCCTATGACTTTGCATGCATAACCTGCCCATTGAATATCTTGTGGAGAAACAGCAATGTAAATGAACTCAACTTGGATCATGACAAGAAAAATATAATTCTTGCTTATCTGTAAAGTCATATTAGGTAACACTACCTCTCAATGTTGTTGTGAAGCTGAAATACCATTGTACGTTTCTTGAAGAAAGGAATAAATGTAAACATCACAACTAAGAAAATAAAAGTAATTCTTTATAAATGTAATATTGAAGCCTGGAGGTTCCGATACCACCCAGCAGCAACTGTACCCCAAGTATATAAAAATTAAACCCTTTAATAAATGTATATGATATTTGTGTAACTTGGATTGCTTTTGTGTTTTATCAATTTCTAAATGTACAAACTTGTATCAACTGTATCAAGGCATTTGCTGTCTCCCTGTTTCAATAAGCTTCTGGAAATGGAGATTGCTGTACAATTAACAAAAGGTCCTTGTAGTGATCTCTCAAGCCAGATGAAATCAAGCCCTTTGTGTATATATGTGAGACAGATTACCCTTTTTGTCACCATGATGATTTAAGATGTGTTCCTGTTCAACTAAGGCTGGAGGCTATCATTCTCATGGAAGAGAAGGCGAATCAAATACTGATGCATTAGCCTTCTAAATAGGCAACCAAGCTCCTGGATAACGCCGCCAGCCTCCAACGCCAACATCGCCAGAACCTCCACAATTGTCACCTTTTCTTCTTTGGGTCTTGCGGCTTTGTATCTCTGGAACTGGACATTTAAGTCAATCAATGAATTATCTGCATACCCATGTCATCACCCCCTTCTATTTTGCACCCTCAATGTGGGCGTATTTGTAATTGACCTTCCAATGATCAGCTCTTCTTCTTCCTACCATGGGATCCCCTCTTCTTGTCTGTGACATCACCGAAACCTCCAACCAATCCCTGCATGGATGCTAGCCAGCACAGCTTCTCAACCAATCAGGAGGAATTGGAAGTCTGAATAGCTGTCAGAAATGTATAAATTGTCTTGTATTTTTCTGTAAATTAATGCTTGCACATTCAAAGTGTTTGCTGGTACCACTGCAAAAGTAGGAACTGTGAATTTAAAAAATGTTGTTTTTTTAAACCCGAGAGAATACTTTTTAAGAATCTCTAGGTCTTTCAGTGTGACTTTGCCTGAAGTTCACAATAGAATTCCACTGTAAGGCCTACAAATTCCTAGCAAAGTGTTCTCTCCATAAATCTCTAGGTCCTAAAGTACACTATTTCTTTAATGTGAATCCCAATCTCAAATCCCTTAGCTCGATGTTAGAATAATGAAAAAGTTGGCAACAGAATGGCACCCATTTACACAAACCTGTTAACAACAACATGCGGGGGGGGGGGGGTTAATTTCCAGAAAGCCAGCCCAATATCTAGCTGCAAGTCACTTCTGGTGTGAGAGAACTGGCCATCTGCAAGGATGTTGCCCAGGGGATTCCCAGATGTTTGATGTTTTACCATACTTGTGGGAGTCTTCTCTCATGTCCCCACATAGGGAGCCGGAGCTGGCAGAGGGAGTTCATCTGCGCTCTCCCTGGATTCAAACCTCTGACCTGTTGGTCTTCAGTCCTGCTGGCAGAAGGGTTTAACCCAGTGTTTCTCAGCCTGAGAGCTGGGGCCCCTGGGGGGGATGCAAGGAGGGTTTCAGAGGAGTCAACAAAGACTATAAGAAAACACATATTTCTGATGGTTTTAGGGATCCCTGAAGATCTCTCCATCCTTCTCTTCCTTTTTGGAAAGCAAAAGTCCTATTCCTGCTCTCTGGATGGAGGTGAACTACAACTCCAAAACTCAGGGTCAATGCCCACCAAACCCTCCCATTATTTTGTTGGTCATGGGACTTCTGTGTGGGAAGTTTGGTTCAATTCCATCGTTGGTGGAGTTTGGAATTCTCTTTGAGTATAGGTGAACTATAAATTCCAGCAACTACAACTCCCAAATGACAAAATCAATCCCCTCCCAACCCTACTAGTATTCAAATTTTGGGCATCTCGGGTATTTGCGCCAAATTTGATCTAGTGAATGTAAATAGATCCTGCATATCAGATATTTACATTAAAATTCATAACAGTAGCAAAATTACAGTTATGAAGTTGCAACAAGTTGGTTGGGGGGGTTGGAGGAACTGTATTGGCTTGAGAGCAATACGTGTGAAAAAGATCTTGGAGTCCTGGTGGACAACAAGTTAAATGTGAGCCAACAATGTGATGCGGCGGCAAAAAAAGCCAATGGGATTTTGGCCTGCGTCAACAGGAGTCTAGTGTCAAGATCCAGGGAAGTCATGCTACCCCTCTGGAATCACACAGAGTCCAATTCTGGGCATCACAGTTGAAGGTAGATGTTGACAAGCTGGAATGTGCCCAGAGGAGGGCGACTAAAATGATCAGGGATCTGGAGAACAAGCCCTATGAGGAGCGCCTTAAGGAGCTGGGCATGTTTAGCCTGAAGAAGAGAAGGCTGAGAGGGGACATGATGAGGGCCATGTATAAATATGTGAGAGGAAGCCACAGGGAGGACGGAGCAAGCTTGTTTTCTGCTTCCCTGGAGACAAGGACATGGAACAATGGCTTCAAACTACAAGAAAGGAGATTCCATCTGAATATTAGGAAGAACTTCCTGACTGTGAGAGCTGTTCAGCAGTGGAACTCTCTGCCCCGGAGTGTGGTAGACGCTCCTTTTTTTGGAGGCTTTTAAGCAGAGGCTGAATGGCCATCTGTCAGGGGTGATTTGAATGCAACATTCCTGCTTCTTGGCAGGGGGTTGGACTGGATGGCCCATGAGGTCTCTTCCAACTCTTCTATGATTCTAAGACCTTCCAGACTGTGAGAACTGTTCAGCAGTGAAACTCTCTGCCCTGGAGTGTGGTAGAGGCTCCTTCTTTGGAGGCTTTTAAGCAGAGGCTGGATGGCCATCTGTCAGGGGTGCTCTGAATGCAATTTTCCTGCTTCCAGGCAGGGGGTTGGACTGGATGGCCCAAGAGGTCTCTCCCAACTCTAGGACTCAATGTATGAAGGCATTAGGAAGGTTGAGAAACACTGGTTTAACCCACTGTGTCACCGGGGACTCCTTGATGATAGTGATGATGGTGATGATGATGATACAATCCGCTGCCTTTGAGGAGGACCACTTGAAAGCGAGTAACAAGCCAGGGGGCCCCCATTGTGACCGCGCCCAAGGGCGAAGGCGGGGAACATCCCTCCCATGGTGGATGCCGGCCTTAAATCCGCCCGCAAAGAATTGTGGGAGATGTAGTCGTTCCGCTCCGCGCACTCAGCGCGAGGCCGCAGAGCAGCCTTTGAGGCCGCGGGGGCTGCCGGGATGCGGCGGCGGCGCCGGCCTCTCGGCCGCGGGGCATGCTGGGACGTGTAGTTCTTTGGGAGCGCCGGGCGGCAGGCGGGCGGGCGTGGTGCGGAAGGGCCCCCCTCCCCTCCGGTTGTTCCCGGCGCGGGGAGGAGCCTCAGCGGTGAGTGGATGGAAGTCGGGGGAGAAGAGGAGGAAATGGGAGGAGGGGGAGAAGATGGGAGGAGGGGGGGGCATAGGCCTCTCTCATGCCACAGTTTGGCCGGACTGGCAAGGGGCAGGAGGGGAGCGTATTCCACCTCTCCTCGGCTTCTGCTTCCAGGTCCTCTCCATGGCCTCGGCTGACTTGGTCCTCTCCAGATGGGCAGGAGTGGGCCTCTCACTGGCCATCCCCAGTGACATAGCCCAGGACCACACTGGCCCGGGAGGGTGGCACTTGTGACCCTTTCTCCGTGGCCCCCTCAGTCAGGGAGACCTGGCCTCAGTCCTCCTCTCTTCCCTTCCATTGAGGCTGATGCTCCTGCATCACTGGCCTTGAAGTGCAGCTGGTATTTTCATGATGTTTCCAGTCAGAGGCTTCTCTGATTTTTGTCATCTTTGCCTGATGAAGAAGCCAGTGAAGCTTTCAAAGCTTGTGCGATGTAGTTTGTGCATTTTGGTTGGCCGATAAAGTTATCACTCTTTTTGGTGAATTCATATTATTTTGTTCTATTTTTGCCATGTATGGTGTATAAACCCCCAGGTGACGCAGCAGGTTAAACTGCTGAACTTGCTGACTGAAAGGGCGTCAGTTCAAATCCAGGGAACATCATCTTTATTTGTACCCCGCCACCATCTCCCCAAAGGGACTCAGGGCGGCTCACATAAGCATGGTGAGCTCCCACTATTAACCCCAGCTTCTGGCAACCTAGCAGTTTGAAAACATGCAAATATGAGTAGATAAATAGGCACCGACTTGGCGGGAAGGTAACATCACTCCATGCAGTCATGCTGGCCATATGACCTTGGAGGCATCTATGGACAACACCAGCTCTTGCACTTAGAAATGGAGATGATCACCACCACCCGCAGAGTCGGACACAACTAGATTTAATGTCAGGGGAAATCTTTACCTATGGTGTATAAGTTGAATGTAAAGTCCTACAACATTTGGTTATGTGCACCATATATTTCTGCATAGCAGTTAATCCCTCCTCTTTGACACATGTTGTATGGAGTGATTGATATTGTGGCATAACGGGTTAAACCGCTAAGCTGCTTAACTTACTGACCCAAAGGTTCAAATCTGGGGAACAAGGTGAGTGCCTGCTGTTAGCCCCAGCTTCTGCCAACCTAGCAGTTTGAAAACATGTGAATGTGAGTAGATCAATAGGTCTTCCTTGGCAGGAAGTTCCTATGGACTACACCGGCTCTTGGGCTTAGAAATGGAGATGAGCACACACACACACCCCGGCGTCAGGCATGACTAGATTTAATGTCAGGGGAAACCTTTACCTGTGTTGTATAAGTTGAATGTAAAGTTCTACAACATTTGGTTATATGCACAATATATTTCTGCATTGTGATTAATCCCTCCCTTTGACACATGTTGCATAGAGTGACTGATATTATGGTGCAGCAGATTAAACCACTGAGCTGCTGAACTTGCTGACCGCAAGGTTGATGGTTCAAATCAGGGCATGGAGTGAGCTCCTGCTGTTAGCCCCAGCTTCTGCCAACCTAGCAGTTCGAAAACATTCAAATGTGAGTAGATCAGTAGGTACCACTTCAGCAGGAAGGTAACGGTGATCCATGCAGTCATTCTGGCCATGTGACCGAGGAGGCATCTTCAGCTTAGAATTGGGGATGAGCATCAACCCCAAAATCGGACACAACTAGACTTAATGTCAAGCGGAAAGCTTTACCTTTACTATTTATAGAATCATACAATTGGAAGAGACCACATTGGCCATTCAGTCCAATCCCCCACCATGCAGGAAAAACACAATCAAAGCACCTTGGACAGATGGCCATCCAGCTGCTGTTTAAAATCCTCCAAGGAAGGAGTGTTTACCCCACTCTGAGACAAGAGGATTCCATTGCTGAACAGCTCTTACAGCCAGGAAGTTCTTCCTAATGTTCAGGTGGAATCTCCTTTTCTGTCATTTGAACCCACTGCTCCTAGTCTTAGTTTATTGCTCCAAGTCCTAGGACCCTTCCAGACAGGCCCTATATTCCAGGATCTGATCCCAGGATTTCTGCTTTAAACTAGATTATATGAATCCCCACTGCCAGATAATCTTCGATAAACAGAAAACCTGGGATCAGATCCTGGAATATAGGGCCTGAATGGAAGGGCCCTTAGTCTCCAGAACAGCAAAAAACATGCCTGATCCTTAGGACATCCTTTATCCTACCTTTCTCCTGATATAAGGGCTCAAGGCAGATAACAGCAATCGTGACACAATACAAATTAAAAGCAGAACATCAGCATCTGCACTGTAGCATGAATGCAGTTTGTCATCACCAAAACGGCCATGGCTCCATGCCATGGAGTCTTTGGAGTTGCAGTTTGGTGTGGCATCAGTGCTCTTTGACAGAGAAGGCTGAGAACCTTGTAAAAACTATAGCTCCCAAGATTCCATAACAATTGAAGTATCAAACTGCAACAACTCTGCAGTGTAGATACGTCCATAGTCTCTGGAGCGCCAGAAAGCAAGCTTGCTCCATCTTCAGTATTCCATCCTTTCAATTATTTAAACATGGCTATCAGATATCGCAGCTTGGTATAGAAAAGGGCTTCTCCTTTTCCCTAGCTTTTTGGGTGTTATAAGCTAGTTGTGATATTTGATCAATCTCTGGCCCTGGTGTCAAACTGCATTAATTCTTGAGTGTAAATGCACCCTTAGTCTCAGAGCAGGATCACTGGAGATTGGGAGTGATACCCTGTTCCCAATGAAGCCATTTCCCCCTTTACAGACCAGTTTATCAACTGGACTACTAGAGAAGGCAAGCAGTATGTTTGGGGGAGTGGAGGGGCTGGACAAGGAGACGCCCCTTGCCCAATACATCAAAAGGGCACCATATTGAGGAAGACTTAGACAGGTACATTCCTTCAATTGTTCCATCAATGCTGCACCCTACGATGTCCGACTTGTTAATGCCCAGGCAACAAGAATATGTCACCACAGCTCCCACAGGCAAAAGGGTCTAGCATCGTGAAGGTTTTCCTTGATGTCTTTGCTCGCAACAAAACTTACCTTGTTTTGAGATCTTCTTTGTGTATTGTCTAAAAAACTGATCTGTCCTCTCTGTATATAAATGTATTTTCATTAGCACAGGTATAGGAGAGGTGACATCTTGCATGAAACAGTACACGTTAATGGGATTCCCCTAGGAATGTTAGTAGACAACAAGCTGAACATGATTCAGCAGTGTGATGAGGCAGCTTAAAAGGCCAATTCTATTCTGAGCTGTATCAATAGGAGTATAGTGTTAAGATGAAGTCAAAGTTATGGTCCCACTTTATTCTGCTTTGGTCAGACATTACCTGAAATAACACTGTGTCTGGTTCTGGACACCACAATTCTAAAAGGATATTGACAAGCTAGAACTAGTCCAGAGAAGAGCAACCAAAATGAAAGCCAAGCCCTGTGAGGAGCAGCTGAGGGAGCTGGGTAGGTTTAGCTTGGAGAGAAGAAGGCTAAGAGAGGACATGATTATGCAGCCTTGCACTTCATCCCATGCCCTCTTTCCATCGTTACAGCTGTGCACTTATACCATCCCTTTGGCCTATTATTTACAGTGTGGCCACGTTTACAGTAGCTTACGGCCATTAGTTGATAAGTGCTGTTTTTAATTGAGTCTTAAGTTGTTGTTTTATATGCCTATATGTTTCATTCAACTGTATTTTATATGATGTTTTGTTTTATGTTCTGTTTTTGGGCACCTTGTGCTGTGTGTAAGCCGGCCCGAGTCCCTTTGTGGAGATGGTGGTGGGATACAAGAATAAAATAATAATAATAATAATAATAATAACAACAACAACAACAACCATGTTTGGAAGGTTGTCACATTGAGGAGGGGACAGACTTGTTTTTTGCTTCTCTGGAGACTGGGACACAATGGAGCAATGCATGCAAATTTCAGGAAAAACAATTCCATCTAAATATTAGGAGGAATTTCCTGGTGGTAAGAGCCAATCAGCAGTGGAATATCCTCCCTAGGAGCATGGAGAAGTCTATTTCTTTGGAGGTTTTTAAGGAGAGGCTGGATGGCCATCTGCTGGGAGTGTTTTAATTGGGTATTCCTTCATAGAACTCTAAGATTCTATAAGGTGCTCCAAAGTTAACTTGAAGGCACATAACAAGAACAAGAGCAAACCTTGTCACTGTAACTTTTCCATCCATCTTGGCCTAATATGTTTTCTGTGTATCCACGTGGTGAAACTTGATAAATTCCTTCAGCAGAGAGTCTTCAAGGTAGAAATGTTTTTGTTTTGCAAGATCCAACACATGGGTGCAATTCCTCAGCTAAATCTGGCCACCACCAGCTCTGCCTAGCACCCTTAGTCTAGAGAGAGAGAAATAGGGGAAGAGGCACCGAGGTTGTGAAATATATAAATAAAAATGTAATGTTCGTTTGTGGGATTAACATAACTCAAAAACCACTGGACAAATTGACACCAATACACATATCAGGCCAACGAGTGACCATCACTCATGAAAACATTGAAAAACACAGCAGAAGAGACTTAAAAAGCAAAAAAAAAAACCCCAAAAAAATACATTACAACGCATGCACAAAACATATATATACAAACACACATATATACAGAAATATATACACAAATATATGTACACACAAAACATACATAGAAAGAAGGAAGGAAGGATGGAGAAAAGGAGGGAGAGAAAGAGGGAAAGAAGGAGAGAAGGAAAGAAAGAAAGATAGAGAAGGAAGGGAGGAGAGAAGAAAATAAAGTGAAAGAGGGAAGGAAGGAGAGAAGGAATGAAAGAGAGACAGAGGGAGGGAGGGAGGGAAGGAAAGAGACAAGGAAGGATGGAACCAAAGAGCAAACTAAGCAAGAAAAGAAACAGGTAGAGAAGGAAGGAAGAAGGGAAAGAAAAGGAGGGAAAGAAGGAGAGAAAAAGGGAGGGAAGATTGGCCACAACACCGCGTGGTGGGTACAGCTAGTAGTTGATAAAAAGGGATGCTTTGTACTCTCAATATAAGAGCATATGGGGGCATTTGCTATATTTTCCAGCAAGCATTCTTTGCATTTGGGAGCTGTGATGGTAAATCTGTCTTATCTAGGACAGAGTTTACAGACAATTTGATACGTATGGCTTATTGAAATGTGACATCACTATGTGAGTTACAGGAATGCTGGATTTGGCAACACCTGAAACACGTTAGACCACTTCCACTTTTTTCATCAGAATGGGACTGAAGGTCTGCTTATCTTTAAAAAGAACTGGTAGAGCAACTCCACCATCTTTGACCTGTTGACATTTCCTGACTGTACTTCCTGTATCCGGGTTACGAGTTCTGCCACCTGTTACAGGCGTGGTTGGTCCCCTGAACTGCCAGCAAGCTATGAATCGGGAACAGTCAAACAGGTCTGGAGGGCAGGGGTCTTGGTATTTTGTGTTCAAAATGATATCTTCTGGGGAGGGGAAACCTTTGGTGGTGGGCAAGATAACTTCTGAATCTTCAGAATCAGAAGTTAAACAGTTCATGGTAAAGAACTTCAACTATATTGGAAAATCTGTGATAGGTTCATCTTAGTGTCACCATAAGTTGGCAACAACTTGTAGGTTTACAGCAGCTGATAAGGAAAAAGGAGTAAGGATGCACTGGAAGGGCAGGTGGTATTCATAGGGAATGGAAGGATGGGTAGTGCCCATTTCATGCTCTGTAACTAACTTCTGGCATTTGTGTGCTTTTTTGTTTGGACTGCAGTTTTACTTGGCTCAATTGTCTAATAAGTAAAGATGCTTGATTAATTGGTGTTAGTTTAATTGTTGGGGACAAGCTCAATGAATTAAGAATTTGTTTGTTCACTGTATTGGTTCCGATCTAGTGGCTAGTTTTTAAAATGCTGTTGCCTTCAAACAATAAATGGGAGTGATAGACAGCATGGCAAGAATACTCAATTTCAATCAGAAAGAGTAGGGTTCAAGTGCAAAATGTAGAGGAGTCCTTGGAGCCACTCCCTGCTTCTCTAAACTATCTGACATTGTTTGATAGTAACATGGAAGGAGGCTACATGTACACTGAGGTTTTGGGGGAAGGGTAGAAGGAGGAGAAGATGTGTTCCTTTTCTTTCATTATTGCAAAAAGCTCTTTTTAAAAAAAATTCAACCAGATGATGTGTTGATGAATTAACCAGCTGAAACAGAATGGCCTAATTTCAAATGAAATATTTAAGACGGGTTGTTGTACTGTAGCTTCCAGGATACCTCACCATTGGCCATACTGGCTAATGCTGTTGGAATATGCAGTCTAGCAGCAAGTTGAAATCCACATGACTTCTACCCCAGTGCAAACTACTCTTGAGTGTAGCCATTTCTTTTCTGTAGTTTCCCCCAGTTTCAGTAGGAATGTTGGTCACATTTTTTTAAAGAGTCCACTGATTGCTTACTTTGTTTGCCTGTCTACTGTAGAGTTCCTAACCCATTTGCCTGGCTTTTTGCACTGCTACAACACTTGCCAGTTTTTATTCCTTCACATTTCCTTCTTCCATTAGGCATGGAAAGTATGATATGCCCATTCCTATTCCCTCCACTGTATGTGCATCAACCATCTGTGCTCTTTGTATTTCCCAGCTGACCCTGTTCTTTCCTTCCAGGTTCCCGGGCATCTCAGGCTCATGCCCGTCCCAGCCCGCCCACGCCTGCAATGGGATGAGTCTCTGAATCCCTTGCGGATTAGTGTGGGCAATCTCCCAGTGCTAGCGTCCATGACCAAAGCAGCTGACCCCCGCTTCCGCTTGCGTTGGAAGGCCATTCTGGCAACCACTCTGGCCCTGGTCCTTGTACTATTGCTTCTCTGCTTCCAGCGTTCACCTTCAGCAAGCAGACCGGTTCTTCCCAATGCTCACAACTGGAAGCTCAGTCTGCTGCCCAATGAACGGTACAATGACACCTACCCACTTTCACCACCCCAGCGGATCCCAGAAGGTGTGCGCTATCGCATTGGACTCATTGCTGACCTTGACACGAACTCCAAGGGTCCCAATGAGCATACTTGGTTCAGCTACTTGAAGAAAGGCTACCTGACACTGTCATCCAGTGGTGACCATGTCTCTGTTGAATGGGATACCCAGGACGATAAGCTGGAATCTCACTTGGCTGAGAAGGGACGTGGCATGGAGCTTTCTGAACTGATAGTCTTCAATGGCAAGCTCTATGCTGTGGACGATCGCACTGGTGTGGTCTACCAGATTGATGGCACCAGTGTCGTACCTTGGGTGATCTTGTCTGATGGAGATGGTACCATTGGCAAGGGTGAGCTCAGTCTTTTGTATCGGTGAATTCCCTTACCCTCATTCTTAATAAGCTGACCTCTGAGACCCCAAATGTAGCCATGGCCACCCCAACAGCAGGGAGATTATTGGAATTACTGCACCTTTTGTCCCAGATAGACCTGCTCTCCATTCCTCTTACAATAGTGTTTTCAACCTTTAGTCCTTTGGATATTTTCTACTTCAACTCTGAAGATCTTAATCATTGTTCATTCTGACTGAAACTTTGGGAAGTAAAAGTCCAGTATTTCTGGTGGGGCTAAGATCGAGAACCATTGTGTATTCACCAGCTGAGATTAAACTAGCTTCTAAAGTCAATAACTTGCTCTCCTTACAAATACCAAGCTAAGGAATCTATTATCATTATTTACAGAGTAAAGTAAATATACGTACTTGGAATTATTTTATCCTGCCTCTTGGCCTTAAAAATCTCCTGAGTTGATGTCCAAATTAAGTAAGCTAAAAATGCAATGAAATGAACAACAGCAAAATCTGAGAACACAAAATTAGTAAAAACACCCGCAGGGAACAAGCATTAGAAGGAGCCAGTAAAAATATTAGAAAATCCCACCAGGAGGAGAAAACCATGGGGTAGAATTAAAAGTTGGTCTGGTAATAAAGGATCCAATTTTCAAATGCTATACAAAGCCTTGCATGAAGAATACCAGCGGGATGCGATATCAGTTTGGAAGAATTAGTCCTTCAAGTATCCTGCTGGAAGGCAGTTTGGCCATCCTTGGATTAAAGTCCTAGGAAGTGAATTCTCAATTCAGTTCTCTTTATAACGAAACAGAGCTAGCTTGCATTTGTCTAGCCATTATGTATTTCATAGACTGGAACTTATGTCTTATGCTTTTGCTTTCTTTAGGGTTTAAAGCAGAGTGGCTGGCAGTGAAGGATGAGCATCTATACGTGGGAGGCCTTGGCAAGGAATGGACAACGACGACAGGGGAGGTGCTGAACGAGAACCCTGAATGGGTGAAAGTCATTGGCTATAAAGGCAACGTGGCTCATGAGAACTGGGTGGCCAATTACAATGCACTCCGGACAGCTGCTGGGATCAAACCCCCAGGTGAGAATTGGGCAGATTCTTATTGTCAAATGTGTTTATTTTGTCATAATTGTATGTTTCTTTCTGACAATTAAATGTTTGCCTATATGTTGGAAACCGCTCTGAGTCCCTTTGGGGAAATAGGGCAGTATCCAAATAAATTATTATTGTTGTTGGCTGAAGGACTGGGACAGAATATTTATTTATTATTTATTTATTTTAAACATGTATACCCTGTCCTTCTCAACCTCCGAGGAGGGACTCCGAATAAACATACTTGCAGCAGTGTACTTTGTGTCTTTCTGCCTCCAAACCAGAGTTTTCAAATAAATTGAGGCTTTAATTTTAAGAACCAAAGGGATTGCGAACAAAAAGGCAGGCAGTATGAAGAATTTGAGGAGATAGAATATGTTGCTTTTAAAGAGATGTCTCCTTTTTTTCCTTGCATACACTGATTTGTCAAGGCAAATGCCTATAATAGTCTGTCTTTCCATAATTTGGATGTCTCCATTTCCTGATTATGCTCATACCTTTGCCCATTTTCTCCCCATTTTCTCCCCAATTTCTCTGACTGGCTGTGTCTTTTATACAGTGGGCCCTTGATATCCCCTGGGATTTGGTTCCAAGATTCTCTGTATATACCAAAATCCATAGATGCTGAAGTCCCATTGTACACAATGCCATAGTGAAATAGTGCCCTTTATATAAAATGGCAAGATCACGGTTTGGTTTTTGGAACTTTGTTTTGTTTTTTTAAAATATATTTTAAATATTTGGATGGTTGCATTCATGGATGCAGAATCCTTCGATATGCAAGGCCGGCTGTCTGCCTCTGGTACTGTGCCTACTGATACCCCTTATTGTGCCATTCCCCTCCTAGGTTACCTGATCCATGAATCTGCCTCCTGGAGCGAGAGACTCCAACGCTGGTTCTTCCTGCCCCGCCGAGCCAGTCATGGGCGCTACAATGAGCAGGAGGATGAGCGTCGTGGCACCAACCTCCTCCTTAGCTCCACTCCAGACTTTGCCGATATCACTGTGAGCCATATTGGGGACGTCATTCCCACCCATGGCTTCTCCTCTTTCAAGTTTGTCCCTGACACCGATGACCAGATAATCGTGGCACTGAAGTCTGAGGAGGATGCTGGGCATGTGGCAACGTACATCACTGCCTTCATGCTAGATGGACGTTGCCTTTTGCCGGAAACACGCGTTGGTCCTGTCAAGTATGAGGGCATTGAGTTTATCTGATGGATAGAATGGATGCTTGTGAGATGGAGCCAGCAAACTGGACAGAGGGAGCGGGCACAAGAATTGTCCCCTGGGCTTGTTCCTCCGACTCTGGCTGAGTTGCAGAACATGATGGGACAGTGGAGTGCTGCCTTGGCATAGATTTCACCTTTATTAAAGTAACATTGCTCCTGCTGATTGTAGCCTGTTTCTGTGCTGCCCTCTAGTGGTGCAGGGTGGGCAGAGCACCTGCAGCCTGGATTCCCTTCCTTCATTGAGCCTACAAAGGCACTAGCTTGGTTTCCTTTGCAGCTGATTTGACTCAACATCCATGAGGATCTGGCTTAATCTTCCCTTACAATGGTTCACCACCCAGTTTTACTATGATTCATGTGTGCCTTTGCTGTTAAGGGGAGGTATTCACCCCCAATTGTGTGGCAAGGTTATTTTCTGACTGTTTATAAGGCCATTTGCTGCCTCTTCGCTCATTAGTTTTGATTTTGCCTGGATGGGAAATTCATTTGGTGGAACATTCTAGGTGGGATCTGGACTCCTGGTCCAGAATGTGCCAGATAACAGATTTGGGGAAAGCTACCTTTTTGATAGTTTAAGCTTCAAGCTCTAATCCAAAGAAGCATTTTTTCTAAGCTGTGTAGAAAAGAGGTAGGAGAGGATAACAGCACAACTCAGAGCTTGTCTGATTGGAACAAACATTTCTTCTTTCAAATCCCTTACAAGTGAGGCAAAAGGGTTGTTTCAAGAAGGTACTTTGTGCCATTACTATTCCTGAAAGTTGCAAGAGTCCACCATAAACCATGTTTTATCCTGGTGCCTCTCTTTATGATTCTGTCTACAAAATATTTCAGTCACAGAACATGTTTAGGAGCAATTCATCCAAATCTGGTCTTCATGATCCTTCTTTTATTTTTATTTTAAGAGTGGGTTTGGTTTGATTTCAGAAAGTGTGCATCCTATAGGAATATTGCAGTATCAGTTTATTCCAGCTGTATTATTCAATGCTCCTGTGGGACAGTTTGGGTCGTGTGAACTTGGCGTAGCCCCACTCCACCCTTCTTGACATTTTACTGTGCTTTTACAGTGGCTCTCAAATTGTGTGCATTTCTCACAATAAATTGTGAACTGTTTTCCTAGTCCATGAGCCTGTGATGATTTTGCCACCTAACAAATAGTCTTGATGAGTTGCCCCTTTGGCTGAAAACACACACAGAAAAGACATGAAACACACACTGAATACTTCCATCCTCTTTCAGACACATGTGTATGCATCTTAAACAAAATGAGTCTTGCGAAAGCTGTTAGGGAAAAATATCCTAAAATATACTGCCGAGCATCCAAAAACAAACAGGATACAGAAGTTGAGCATCAGCTCACCAGTGAACAAAGCATGAAGTGCTGCAAATAATTTAGAGCTTAGAAGGCAAACATGCAGAGTCCAATCTTAAAAATCACTTCTTTTTTTTTTTACAATAATAAGAAATCACTGCATTTCTTAATAATCAAGAACTGGGTATGAGCTACTCTAACACCTATCTCTTCTAAGGTTTCAAGAGAGGGAAAAAACACAAATCACTCTGTCTCTCCTGACACACAAGCAAAGAGAGATCTCAAAGCACACAGCACATACTCTCCATACTAAACTATAAGAAGACAGAAGTTAGATTCAAAAAGGCTTGTCGTAGAAAAGTATCCATTTTAAACAACCAATCAGAATGAAACAAAAGAGAACAAAATAGATAGAATCATAGAATCAAAGAGTTGGAAGAGACCTCATGGGCCATCCAGTCCAACCCCCTGTCAAGAAGCAGGAATGTTGCATTCAAATCACCCCTGACAGATGGCCATCCAGCCTCTGTTTAAAAGCTTCCAAAGAAGGAGCCTCCACCACACTCCGGGGCAGAGAGTTCCACTGCTGAACGGCTCTCACAGTCAGGAAGTTCTTCCTCGTGTTCAGATGGAATCTCCTATCTTGTAGTTTGAAGCCATTGTTCCGCGTCCTAGTCTCCAAGGAAGCAGAAAACAAGCTTGCTCCCTCCTCCCTGTGGCTTCCTCTCACATATTTATACATGGCTATCATATCTCCTCTCAGCCTTCTCTTCTTCAGGCTAAACATGCCCAGCTCCTTAAGCCGCTCCTCATAGGGCTTGTTCTCCAGACCCTTTATCATTTTAGTCGCCCTCCTCTGGACACATTCCAGCTTGTCAATATCTCTCTTGAATTGTGGTGCCCAGAATTGGACACAATATTCCAGGTGTGGTCTAACCAAAGCAGAATAGAGGGGTAGCATGACTTCCCTAGATCTAGACACTATGCTCCTATTGATGCAGGCCAAAATCCCATTGGCTTTTTTGCCACCACATCACATTGTTGGCTCATGTTTAACTTGTTGTCCACAAGGACTCCAAGATATATTCCCAATTGTCATAAAGGAGAAATAGGGGAAGGGAAATTCTTAATCTATACTGAACTAACTGTTCCTCATTGAGGACTTGAAACTTGGGCAGTGTGGGGTTGAATTCCAGTAATAGCTTGTTGGAACAGGTGTCTCAAACCCAGTTGTACTATTCTACATCAGAGATGGCCAAAGTGTGGCTTATGGGCATTCCTCCCAGTACTCATGCCTTCACCCCAAATTTTTGTTCCTTTTTTTTCACTCAAAATGGCCAACAATTCAATTTCTGTGGGTTGCAGTTAGCTATTTGGTGCATTTCCAAGGGCTTTTTCATAGTTTAAGGCCCATATACATTTTCAGTTCTCTGTTTTTTGGGGGGATATGATTGGCTTTTAGGATCCTATGCAGGACTGAGGCTGCAACCCCACTCGCAGTTCATCACTTTCCTGGTTTACAGTTAAAGCTTGTACCATTTGCGGGAGTGTACATATGAAGCTGACCCAGGTTTATCAGCATCTGTTGAGAGGAAGTATGTCTGAGATTTGGTGGGAGGAGGAATTAGCAGCCACTAGATCTTTCTGTACCTGCAGCCCCAGTCCTTGGAGTTCACCTTGGAGACAATGCCAACTGGGTATTTACTGTGGTTGCTTCGAGGGGTAGGCCTAGAGTTCTTCTTCAGTGCCTACTGAATATGGATGGTGATGGAGCTGCTGCAGTCACTTGCCACAATTACAGTATGCTTATGTTCTTGCCAAAAGGTGTGGGTAGGTACACCTGCAACAAGTGCAAGCTACAGTTGTTTCCCTGTTGGAAGACAAGGTCCAGCAACTTGCGGCCCATGTGTCTGCTCTTCAGTATATTAGGAAGCATGAGATTTTCTTTGCCAGAACGGATTGTCCTGGATGAGAAAGACACAAAATGTCTCTGAGGAGGTCAGTCTCCAATCATAAGAGGTAGACATTTGGAGAAATGTGGTACATAGATGAAGAAGTACCAGGGAGAATTCTGAGAATTTGGAGAGTGGGGAGGGAAGCAATAGGGATACCATTTTGGGGAAATACGACAGAACTGGGGACTTGGATAATGACTTCCTGAAATAAATGACCAAATGTTTAGAAAGGAGAGATGTAGTAGGAATGGGGAATTTCAACTACCAGTACTCTTATATTTGTTGGAAATCAAATTGTACATACATTCTAGATTTAATGCAGTTTGACATTGCCTTAATGGCCCTAGATCAATTCTGTGGACTCATGTGATTTGTAGTTTCATGAGGCGTCAGTGTTCCCTGGCAGAGAAGTCTAAAGATCTTGTAAAACTACAAATCCCACTATTCCATAGCACTAAGCTGTGGCAGTTAAAGTGGTATCAAACCATTAAATCTACAGTATAGACACGCCCTTTGAAAGTAATGGTATGACCACTAAAAATCAACATGGTTTTCCTCCACAATAATAATAATAATAATAATAATAATAATAATAATAATAATTTATTTATAACCTGCTGTAGTAGACCTTATTTTTTTGACAGAGTTAGAAGTTCAGTTGATTAAATTTATTATTATTATTATTATTATTATTATTATTATTATTGGAATGTTGTGGATGTAGCATATCGTGATACAGTTAGGGGGATTTGTAATTGGTTGGCTAATCAAGTTGTGCTCACAATGGCTGTTTTTCATTCTAGAAACTAGTAAGGTGCCCCTGGGTTCTGCCTGGGACCAAGTGCTATTCAACATATTTATAAATGAATGATGAAACAAAAGGGATGCTTATCAAATTTGCAGATGCCACCAAATATGGATGGGTAGCTAATACACCAGAGGACAGGATGAAAATCCAAAATGACTTTAACAAATAAGAGAGCTGGGCAAAAACTAACAAAATGATTTTCAATAGGTTTAAATGCCCTTAGAAAAAAATGAAGTGCAAAGATACAGGATGGGGAGCAGCTGGCTTGAAATGGGCACATGTAAAAGGGATCTTGAAGTCTTAATAGACCATAGCTGAACATGAGTCAACAGTATGAGTTAGCAGCTAAAAGGAGCCTCCGGTGGCGCCGTGGGTTAAACCCCTGTGCTGGCAGGACTGAAGACCGATAGGTTGCAGGTTCAAATCCGGGGAGAGTGTGGATGAGCTCCCACTATCAGCTCCAGCTCTCCATGCACAGACATGAGAGAAACCTCTCACAAGGGTGGTAAAACATCAAAACATCCAGCCATCCCCTGGGCAATGTCCTTGCAGACGGCCAATCCTCTCACACCAGAAGCGACTTGCAGTTTCTCAAGTCGCTCCTGACACAACAAAAAAAGCAGCTAAAAAAAGGATCAATGTGATTTTAGGCTGTATCAATAGAAATCTAGTGCCTAGACTGAAGGAAGCAATAGCACCACCCTTTCCTTCCTTTGTCAAACCTCACCTGGAATACCATGCCCAGTTCTGGGATTGCAGTTCAAGAAAGATATTGATAACCTGGAAAATGTTGAGCAGAGGGATGGCAAAGTGGTAAAAGGTCTGGAATCCATAACCTTGAGGAGCATCTTAGTGATTTAGGTGTGTAGCTCAGAGAAGAGAAAGTTAAGAAGGGACATGTTTAAATATTTTAAAAGATGTCATATTGAAGAAAGAGCAAGCTTGTTTTCTTATACACCAGAGACTAGGACATGGAGCAATGGATTAAAATTGCAGGACAAGAGATTCTATCTAAACATTAGGAAGAACTTTCTGACAGCAAGAGCTCTTTGGTAGCGGAATATGCTGCCTTGGTGTGGGGGAGTTTATTTTTCTGGAGGTTTTTAAACTGAAGCTGGGTGACCTCCGTCAGGTTTGCTTTGATTGTGCATTCAGGCATGGCAGGGGGTTGGTATGGATGACCCTTCCAGCCTTATGATTCTAGGTCATATCATTGGTCTTTCTACCTCATTATTGTCTATGTTCACTGGTAATAGCTCTCCGGGTTTTCATTACAGGTGTTTCTCAGCCCTGCCTAGATGTGCCATGGCTTGAAATGTGCACACTGTTATATATACACACAGTTATTCTGACATTGGCAAGAGTCCCTCTTTCCCAGTAGAGAAATGTATTCTGACACACAGAAAATAAAGTCTGCCATAGATTTTGTAGGGCTTCCTGAAATCATATGTTCCTGAAGTATCTCTACTGCAGTACAGTTTGTTTTTATCCTAAATCAATGTCTTCTTAATAGTGTTCAGAAACATTGGACGCTAGATGGCAGGGCTGGTTTGCTGAAGACTTGAGGAGCTCCTTCAATCATCCCTGAAAAGGGCCAGCACAGTCTGTAGGGGTGTGGTATAGTGTTTACATAAATATGTGAAGTCAGATCAATGTGTCCCTTAGCTTTTGCGGTTCTGTATACATACAATGTTGATGGTAGTGTAAGATTCTAAGGCATACAAACCCAGTGCATTGCTACATTAGTCTTGCTTCTAAATTCCATGCTGAACTGCCTTCCATACTCTGTGATGCCCAGAGGTTCCTAACATCTTTCAATATTAGGAACCTATGTTGGCCAACTGCATGAGTCCAGATGCAAATTTGTATAGCTGTGTCATCAAGAATTCCTCAGAATAAGTTGTTGATTACCTATATATTGGATAATACATCTTACTGGAGACATATTCACACTGAGGAATTGAGTACTACTGATCAATCTCATACTTTATTCACCCAGAAATGTGGAATCATGATAATATAAAGTATACTCCCTATACCTTGA